GAACGACAAGGATCTGCTCTACGAAGTTACTATACCCAGCCGAAACAGGTTGACAAAATTATACGTCCTATAGAATCATTATAGGTAGTAATGGTGCTGAAACATGTGCTGAACATTCTTCCCCCATTCGGAGGTGAAAACGCTTGGAGATACCGACCATGATATCTTAATGGTGACTCAGGGGTCACGGTTGGATCATCCAACCCTCATTTCGGACGCTTTTTTCCGCGATTGAAAGCACACTCTCAGGCGCACTCTTATGGTCACTGATCGATCCATGTGTTCACTCCCCTTTGCTCATAGACAAGCATGATGACCATGACCATACATGATTTGTTGAATTCAATTCTCACAATATCTCACAATGATTCCTTTGTGATCTTTTGTGTTACAAGGTTCGCACACATTCGCATACCAAGGTCCTAGACCATGTCATAAAACTCTGTGCACGTGGTGTCTTTGAGGTTCCAAGCGGATCCAAATGGTTTCAGGTTTTTAGGGTTGGATCCCCTACCGTAAGTCTTTGGGATGTTGGGTCTGTGTCACAGCCGAGATATACCTCTGTTCAACCACTGCTTCTTCTGTCTGGACGATCACAACAAGAGTGCTCTGTTCTGCCGGTCGCGTTTGCGAAACTTGGCCAAACTCTGCGGCAAAAAGGACCAACAGGGAAAACCAACAATGGTCACCACTTTGGTATGTGTTCAAATGTTACAAAGAAGAATTTCGCTGCTCACGGATTTAACATGATTCAACATGCTCGAACCCGTTCACGTAATTAGGGGTCCAAGGGGTCTGCTTTTCAGCCATGGGCAGGTCAAGAGACCCCAAAGCACCCAGACCAAACATCCCCAGCTAGGCCAATGCGGTTTCCACTAGCGCCCTCCACCCCGGCCCCACCTACATTCTACCTACATCCCTCGTGCATCCGTGTTCCATGGAAGGTCTTTCGAGTGGATGTTCGTTTTTGTTTGGTTCCACCAGGCCTCTGGCCACCACTCAACTCATCATCGGTTTCGTTCACGGTTCGGCCGTTTCGCATCAAATGAAAAACAATGTCAACGGGTGGAACGGTGGGTGAACCCAAACAAATGTGGGCCGTTTTGGTGTGGAACGGAAAAAACGAACATGAATGGACGTAATCTGGAAAGAAAAACTACCAGGACCCCCAGGCCGGGTGGTTAATGGACACCCCGAATCACAGCTAAGGGGCTATACAATGCTAAAAATAGACACCCCGACAGGAGGGTCCTGGTATACCATGGTTTGGTGTTGCAAATGTTGCGGCCTGATTTCCGCTGCCTTGCTGGCTTGTGTTTCAACACAAGACTATCCGGAAGCAACCTGCACGGTACAGGTTGGGAAGATTAGCAAAAAAACACAGTATACAAATGTATACAGTATACAACCTCATACAAACCCATAGTGATTAACCAGCTACGTATCCACCTTATGTATATCTGACTTAACAACCCGCTTCTTCAAACGCTTTGGCTTGGCCAGCGGCATCTGGCTTGACAATCGTTCTAAACACTTGGGTACGCCCGCGTCATGAGGGATGGGAGCGGCGATGAGCAGCGATTCTTTGCCAAACCAACATCCTCGAGACGCACCTAAGCCTGGTGCATGAACTGTTGTTTACCCTGCCAACGTAAGTGGAACATGACCACCGGAAATCGGTAACAATTTTCCGGGCCCGGGGGTTGTCCATGTCCATGTTTGGAGAGAGGGTAATAAAGCACCCCCCCGTATGAAGATGATGTAAACAAATTGTGAAGCCATTCTTCAGCTGGTAGGGATTGAATAATCAACAGATCGACATTTATAGGCTTGTGCCACTGTGCCTGACATATATCATTTGGGTAGCTTATGGTAGCTTCGCCACTTCGTCCTTTTCCTGGCTTGCTTGTGCAGCTAGTGCAGCCCAAAGCAAGATACAGTCGCTATAGGAGGTTATCTCTGATGAGACTGGGAAGGTGGGCTGGATTCGATGTCCGAATCAGGAGCGCGAGCTGTGCTGCCGCTTCGTGCGGACCAAGACCTGCCAAGACCTCCAAGACAGGGTCCAAGTTTGGTTGATCTGTTTTTTTCTACCAGGAGTCACAAAGGGGTGGTGTTTAGTCCCTAAGTGAGTGGATAATGGCCACCCCTAACCTCCATTAAGCATCCCTTTGTGACTGCTGGTATGTTGTTCTTTTCGGGCGTGCGCATGGAAGCACTGAAGCGCTTCCAAGCATCTCAAAGCGTGTGAACACCCGCAACTCGGATTTGGGAGCATCATGCCAAAACGTTAAGGTGATCGCCAGCCTTCTAAAGCTCCAAAAAGGTGGACATTAAGTCACTAAGGCCAAACTACAACTTAGTCGAAACATAGATAAATTATATAACTCAACAGGATGCATGAATCTGAACATGTATGAACAGCCGTCTCAATTGCCTGACGCTACGAAGCTCAATTGTTGTCTGTCATCTTCTCCGCTGCAAATCCCTCAAATGGCACGGGGCAAATACCTCATGAGGCCATGCTCCTGCCCGAAGGATCTCGGGACGCGAAAACGTCGCTGCCGCCGGCTGCCGCGCTGCCATTGCCAGCGCAGCAGCGGCTTTATTGTTGAGCACGCGCTTTTCTCGGGCGTCGGCGCTCTTTTCTTCGGATCCAGGGAACGCGTTCTCGGATTTGGGAACTGTGTCAGCTACACTCCAGAAGCGAACGGAGAATTGTGTCAGTGTTGTAGATGTTTGATGCTAAATCTCTCGACGTGCAGATGTTCCCAGAGTTCTGCAGAATCCTTTGCTTCCATTATGCCCACACAGAAAACCCGGCCCTGAAAAGTGGCAAAACTCTCCAAGCAAGTCCGGCCGGCTATGGTTTTTCGGGGCACTACCTGGATTGGAACGGCAAGGCTGACTTTCAGGATTTTCAGGCCATTTCAGTCACTGGATTCAACGGACTCGCCATTAAAATATCTGTCAAATAAAACATGAACAAACCACTTCCAATATTAGCTATTTCGCCAAGTTCGCAACAACCAAAAAGCACTCTTGGCGACCTGTGCGTGGGCCTCTTGGGCCTTCTTCTCGTCTCTACCGGAGTCCACCGTGGTCATCCAGGAAAATCGTACCGCAGCCATCCGCAGCCATGTGAAGTGTCCATTCCATCCTGGATCCATCAGGAGGCTCGACTCCCATCGTGCCCCCTCCACGGACGTCGGACATAGGCAAATGTCTCGTCGCCTGAGGATCTCATCCCGGTATACATCCCACGCATCGGAACGGGGCAAATCCCAAGTAGCACGCACATCGGCGATTCATCTTGCGATCGCTGGCGCCTACCTCGCGAAAGGATACTTTCGCGAGAAGAAAGGGGACCCTCGCTGGGCACCACGGGTTGACGTCCTTTTCAGCAGGTACTGTATGTATTTTGCGTTTTATAAAGTTTAAGAAGTCCCTCTCAATCCCAGTCACAGAGGGGCGGTGTTTAGTCTCTAAGTGAGTGGATAATGGGCACCCCTAACCTCCATTAAGTAGCCTTTTGTGACTGCTGGAATTTTGTTCTTGGTAATTTGGTAATCATCTGAACAACCCCTCCGTTGCGGATCTGAAAACGCCCCATGGTTCCGGGATCCAGACTTTTTGACCCCCAAAAATCCCACCACTGCTACACCCTAAATCCACCCTCTTCGGTACACTGGAGCATCTTCCCCTGGATCTCCAGACCTCCAGAAGCAGAAATTGGGTCAAAGAACATCTCGGAACTTCTGCTTGCACTCTTGAGGCTTTGCTGAAAAGGAAGTTCTCAAAAATCATGTGAGATCTTCGTTATTCATTCCGCACTGACCGTGGATTGTCCGGGCAAAGGCACTCTGGCTTGCCATGGTCAGCTTTGCAGTCGCATCGAGCATGCTAGCAGGTCATTCACATGACATGGTTGTTAGCTATTTTCACGGTCCCAAACAGAAAACACAATGGACCAATGGACCAACAATATCTATACACTCCCTGAAATAACCGTGGAAGTGGAATTAAGTGGAAAACAACCTGTTTGTAGAGGAAAGTCATGGATTTCCACCATACGGTATCTACAAAGAAAGTCGATCTGTAAATTCCGTGAAGCATTCTGGTACATCAAGTCCTGATTTTCGAGATGTTGATACTTCTAGGTGGGTCTACCATCTGTAGGGTTATATTTATTATTCTTCTTCCAAAGCACATCTCCTTAAATGGACACATCCAAAGAACAAACACATATACATACAGTTACTATCAATATCATATTAATCTAGCGCTGAACCCAAACACCACTTGAACTGTCTTTGGTTGGTGGGTGCCAGTTTTTTGCTCGAATGCACTTTTTGCAGTGGAAACTGCTTAAAACAGCTTGAAGAACTCAGCGACTGTGACACAGTCTTGCAGCCGTAGTGGCTTTTATTGAAGAGGCGTAAACAAAGGGTTCGCTTCAATTCTTCAGCTACATGAGATTCGACTGCCACATTGCAAGGGTGCTTTTCCTGTTTCTCTTCTGTAGGTGCTTCTGGTATGGGAACATTCTCCAAGCATCTTCGCTAACAGGATTGGTTATCCTTAGTCTACTGATTGGGTCTGCTAGGTGCAAGGGGTCATATATATATATACTGTATAAAGATATTCCTTTATTGGGGTTCTCCCATTCTTCACCAACCTGTCTTACAATCGAAAGTCCTTAAGGCAGCCCTTGCAAGCGTACCGTACGCCCTTCTCTTCGCGGTGCAACACCCCCATTGATCATAACGACTCCCCAACGTTTCTGGCCTGGGACCGTATAAATACTGTATGTCTGATTGTAGATAGGCATATGGTTCAACTAATTTGCAGCTTATACCGATACCGAACCATGATGAAAAACATCTTTATCTAACTCATGTCAATGCAATTGCAACATTTATGTAATCATGTAAGAATCTCCTGGATCGATACCCATGAATGCTATAGAACTTCCTCCAGTGTCCGACATCACTCCGGCGTCACTCCGCCACACCAGTCTCCGCCACACCGGTGCTCTTCGCAGACAGTGTGCCCGGCGAAGCGCCGCCCAGGCTCGTCTGTGTGTCGGCGCGCGACCGCAAGCCGAAGCCTTGGAAGTGGAGCGACACTAGCCAGTTGGCGTGGTTTTTGTATTAAAGTTTGTTCCTTTTAACGTTTGTATAAATGTTTTATTTTCTGGTTGGGACTGGTGGATAGGAAACAACATCTGAAAGACTGATTCTACTGAACGGTTGATAAGGAATCTATAATATTATATATAATGATTCTATTTATATCATACAAGGGGTTGGCTGGGACTGTATGGACAAAACTCAAAAATATGTCAAAGGATTTATTGGACTTGGCCATATCAAAGCGGAGCTTGCAGTCAACCACCAGGATGGACGAGCGAGATGCCCTTTTCTATCGTATTTAGCACTAGCTCAAACACAATGACAAAGCCAGGCATCAATTTGGGATATTTTGGAGACACCCCCGTATGTGCAGCCCAAGAGACTGACGAAGCACGGCATCGAATTTGAGGAATTCGGAATACCCGACCGTCCAATCGCATGAACTGACTGAACCCTCACATCGGCTGCCAGAAAGGTCATGTTAGTTCCACTTGTCTGGGGCGTCCAATCATCCAATCCAAACCTGAGACTCTCCAAAACCGATCACACCAGGCACCCGAAGTGCTTCAACGAGTCCAGCACCATCCACCCCCGAAACCGAAAAGGATCAAACGAACGCTTCAAACGCCGCAGCTCAGCCCCTCGCTTCGAAGATGTTTCACCGATGAGAACCGGGGATGCCCCGGTTTAAGAGATCGCGCGTCTCCTGTGTTTTGCGTCTTCGGCCCATCAAGACCAACCGCCCGGAGGCATCACCCCCGCATCGCCGAGGCGCTGGTGTTGGTGTTGGAGCGACTGGCGCGGGGCGTCTTGGCGCTGGTAGTAGTACCTCGGAAAAAGATATAGTGGTGGTGCCAAAACTATCCAAAACTACTTGTTCGTGGTGTTTGCACGGACAAATTAGGATGTCCCCTATCGTTTTTCAGGGCGTTGGTCTTTCCAAGCAGGGAATGCAACTTGAGAAATGGCTGGTGGACGAACCGTTGGTCAGCAACGACGGGTGGGTAGCAGCAGCAGTAACAGCAGCAAAGCACCCGTAGACCAGCACCACTAGCACCCCAGGAGGGGCAGCAAGCCACTACGAGTAGCAAGGCAGGCAGCCAGCAGCGCAAGCTCAGCAGCAAGCCAGCAAGCCAGCAAGCCGCAGCAGGCAGCAATAGCAGCAGCAAAGGCAGCAATAGCAGCAGCAGAGCAGCCAGCACCAGCAAGCAGGCAGCCAGCACCAGCAAAGCAGCAAGCACCAGCAAGCAGCAAGCAGGCAGCCAGCACCAGCAAAGCCAGCAGCAGCACCAGCAAAAGGAAGCAGCAGCAGGCAGCAACAGCAGCAGCAGCAGCAGCTGAGTGAGCCACACTTCGAAAAGGTTCTGGAAAAGCTCAAAAAAGACAACAGTGACAAGCAGCTACTTTGCCATACTTCTCCATACTCATTGTGTTTGATTGAACAAACGTCTCATTGTGTTTGATTCGTTCACGTCTCACCGGCCCTCCGGCCCTCCGGACTGCGGGACTACCGGACTGCCCGAAACGCCCAGGAACGGAGCATCGTGATGAACTCGTTGCAGTCGAGCAAGGAGTCGCCGTTCTGGTCCAAGTCCTGGCGCGTGACGTGACTAGGTCGCACGGTGTACTCCTTTGGAGGGGTCGCAAGGTTTACTAAACGAGCAGAGGGCGATGGAAATCAGTGGACATCACATCTTCTGTGGATTTCTGTGGTAACTAAACTATAAATAAATACTCACACTCAGGGTTGATTGCGGTTGCAGCGTAGAAACACACACATGGGAGCCTCAAACACACGGAACCCAGAATAACCAAGATACTTAATACTTTGGGTGTTGGTGGTGTGGTTCTTAGGCGACTGTTCCAGATCAACTGCCGGCTTTACACAGTTGTTAGGTATAGTGTTAGGTTGATTTGGACAAATATGTTTAGGTCTTGTGGTGGAACCCTCTCGTCTTAAGCTGGGGTTACTCCACGGAAGCAGCCAATTCAACCAGCCCAAGTCCACATGAAAGGTCCAAGTCCACATGAACGCCCAAACGAGCTAGACATTACATTCCAAACCATTCATCAAGAACTCTGCCGCCATCCTGGCTACAGAACGAATGATCCTATCCCGCCCTTGCTCAAACAACGCACCAGGTCCAGCTCCAAGACCACATGAGCTCACGCTCCCACCGGCCCCAACCGCCGTCAATGGCGACCCAAAGCGTGCGATCACCGGGACGAGGTGAGACTCTGAGTCGTCTCGGCGTCCTCCAAGGTTTCTTTGAGTTCCTCCATGTCGACATGACCCAGCCTCGGTGGTCAGGTCGGCCAGACGGCGTCGGTGGTCAGGTGGAAAAAGTGGTTGAAACTGGTTCTGTGTTTTTATTTTTTTCAAGCGTATGGGGAAGAGGTCTGTCTCGGTCACAAAGGTGTATCTTCAGGAGTTCCGGAAGTTGGTTTGGGGTAGGGGAACAGGTGGATTCCTTGAATGGTCTTATAGCATTCCATTCGCCAATAATGTTCACAATGTTTAACTGCCAAGAACCAACAAGAACAGCGGCAACATCCAGTTGAAACAATAAAACTCTGCCCCAGTGGTTCAAATCTACTAAGTTGTCTTGACGCCTCCCCAACAAGAGGAGGACCAAAAGTTGGCACCAACATTCAAATGCCGAGTCCTACTATAGATAGATGAAAGACAAGCCTTGTTCCAGCTAGTTACATCCACTCCTGGTAGAATTAACCTTCCAAGGATCCCAACTCCCCTATCCTTCCTGGGAAAACCACACCACTTCGTCCGCCAACACTTGAACTCTTGGAGCTGGATTCGTAATACAGTAGCATGTTTGCTTCGCGCTATGAACTCAATGTCGGATATCAAGGGTTTAAAAGAAGGACTTGATCATTCTATATTGGTTGTTGCATGTGTCAAAATCTCATTCCAAAGACTCAGGCTTGGCTTCAAAGTATAGATCTATTCCTTTTGGTTAAACCATCATCGGAATTCCACGTTGAACCATATTGAACTGGCAAAGAAAATCACAGTGCTAAGCGTGCTAAGTTCTAAGGCTACGATTGGCAAAACAGAACACATGGTCACTGGGCACTGCAATCACTCCTCGACGCCCGATGCCCGACGCCCCGGGCATGCGCCCGGTGTGGAGCTCATTGAGATCTAACAGGCCATCCTGCGCGGAAACAGAAAGAAGCAGTGACTCAGGATGATGAGGAGTCTCGAGTATGTAAAAAAGAAACGGTGCTTTAGTAACAAATACTCAGTAGATCTCAGTAGTATGAACTGAAAAACTGTGCTGTTGCAAGTAGCCAAGGCTAATCTTGGCTAATCTGACCCAGCACTTGTCCCATGCTTTCCTGTGGAATTCAGGCTTGGCCAACCTCGTTCGGTCAATTGGACATCCCGCGAGCTCGGACGGCCCACCACCGGGGCCGCGGTGGGGCGTCTCGTGCGCGCCGCTCCTTGTTCTTGTCCAATGTATTGAAGGCCTCCCGGCAGACGGCATCCGTCAAGCAGGTCTTCCTTGCGCGGTTCGGGAGAGAAAGAAACGAAAACGTGAGGGTGCAGAGGGAAACGGATTCAGGTGAAGAGTAACACTCGCTTTCTAGGGCCATGGAGGGAGATGCTGGCGGGGGGCTTCATTGAATATAGACTATTTTCGACTATTTTAGACTTCTCTTTCGAAACGATTCGGGTGGAAGCAAATTCCATCGAGTTCTCCTGCATCTGCTCTGTCTGACAGTGTCTGTCTCCAATCTGTCTACCTATACAGTATACGTCTATTTGATGGGACTTCAAGACTCCATGCAGATGGGCAACACATGAACAGCTCCATGAAAACACCCCATCTGCCGTGATCCCTCAGCTCCTGCAGAATGTGGCAGCTAAGAACTCGGTGTAGCTGAAATCCTATCAGTCAACGGCGGCTGTCGGTGGAAATCCACTGCTGAGATTGGTGACTGGTGCCAAGCCGAAACATCTTCAGGGCTCAGTGGCAGGGGAGTTCAAGTCAAGCTCGACTTGTGAACCTCCTGGTCAGGCAGGGGATGATCCTTCGATACAAATAATTGTGTATGGCATGATGAGATCCAGCAGATGCAAATGGGATGAGGGCCCAACGAGATCCAGCGAAGTCACTGCATGTCACTGCAGGCAGCCGTTGCAGCCATTGACGTGTGAATATCATACAATATGGCCCGTAGGTTTTAATGGAGGCATGAAAAGCTTGCAGGTCAAGTCCTGTGAAGGTTCGAAGTCCTCTGATACTTTTTCAAGTTTGGAGCTTCCCAACAACCCCCAAGGTCTTGGACTTCAAGTCAAATGGGATAATATGACTGCAAAATAAACCGGAAGAACATATGGTACTAGCGCTGGGGTTTAGTCACCCGTGTTTGCAGAAAGTCACCCGGCCGCATGGAAACGCAGCATCATTAGTCAAAAGTCACCCGGCTCGCGAAAAGTCACCCGTTTTATGTTAAAACACAATGTAAACACTCTACGGAAGTATGTTTGTCAAAACTGCTATACATCAAGAATTCGCTGCCCCTGTGCAGGAAAGAACTAGTTGTATGTCGAAGTTTGCTGCGTTTTGGTGACCGAACCAAACAATGTTCGAGCTCCAAACAATGGTTTTGAACTGACACTCCAAAGCTTATCTCCCAATGAGGGTGACATCTTGCATCTAACCCCAATGGAAACGCAGCATCCAAACAATGTTGTTGCCCTAATGGTCTTCAAGTTATATTGCCATCTTGCATCTGACCCCAATGGAAACGCAGCATCCAAACGACTTTCTACAAGACCAAACGACTTGACACAAGTGCTTGTACCGCAGTTGTGTTAGTTGAGTCCAAGTTGAGTCCACATGCAATACTCTCCAAAAGTAATTACGATTGATTCCAAATATACTGTCTCAACTACTGTATTATTACAAGTGCTTCCCCACATGATGGACCAGTAATTACATTGAAACAAACTTAGATTGACAAATTGGTTGACAACAAGTCCAACCTAGCTATTTACGCTCCTATGATGTTCTATGTGGAGGTTGAGTACTATTTACATGAAGGTCAACACTAACTACTATGAGGAGAGTCGAATGATGTACCCCCCCGTGCCATCCCTCCTCTACACTCCGGCTCCACCACACAACGCACCCAACGCGTAGCGGAACCAAAACGTCGACGCCGAACCGACCGCGACGCCGTATACGGCGACGCCACGGTCGCCGTCATCGGCCGTCCACGCCGCGTGCCTTCAACATGGCGCCGCTGTTGTCGGTGTCCCAATCCCGGAAGACCCCTTGGGACGTCCCGCGGTTCGAATCACTGGTCGGCCAAAAGGAGCCCGGGGAAGACCCGGTGACGCAAAGGCTTTAGGTTCGGGTTTGTTCCACCCTCGGGGCCTCCTACGTCCATCCGAATGCTTCGGGTTCGTTGAATCACTACGATGACCTGGAATCCAAATGCTTTGAAATGCAATGTTCGGGCTTTGCCAATCGATCCACACATTTGGCCAGCAAAGCAGTTCAACTGAGCTCTGTGCCCTGTCACCAATGCGACCAGCTTAGCGCAGTTCTGGTTGCACTCTTCAGGACCAAGTTGATAACACCGTAATCAATTGTGATACATGATCGTTGTTCCCCTCTGTACCCATCTTTAAAATAACATGTATGCAAGAAAAAAATACATGTAACCCATCATGTCATACATTAATGTTAGTAGCCATACATTGGGTCTATCCTATTACCTGTAACAGTGGATGATGATGATGATGTAGAGGTCTTGTTCAAATATAGTGATTTGCTATGATTTGCTTGTTTACTGGTCCTGTTACAGGTGATTTTCGGACAGACCCAATGTCATACAGTATACATAGTATGGAAATCTGTGTAGCCCATCAAACCATCTCAGACCCATGGTGTGCTCCTTCTCAAACAGTCACCTCCCGCTGCTCCTGGCGCGCGCATCAGCTCATGCGGTCCCAGGTGCGCTCCACCTCTCGTCGGTTCATATCCTCATCGGTGCGGCCAGATCCGGTGCGGCCAAGCACAGCAGGCCACGCTGACAGGTGTTTTAAGCCAAGCACATCTGAGTTGTGTGCGTGTTGTGTTTTTTTACTATATTTACTGTGTAAACTCTGATCATCTGGCTTCCACAACCAGCTTTTTCGCCAAGGGCCGGCCGATCTCGGCGGGATCAAGGGCAGGGTCCCAGCTCTCAACGTCAACAGCTCATCGGCCGATGGTGGGGCATGCTTCGGGTCTTTCAAGCCCTCTTGACTATGGCGTACAAGTCCTTCGGAGAGACGACGATCGCTTCCTCTCTCCGGAAGCTGATCGTCGAGTAGAGGCGATCTGCTAGCGATTGAGGCCGGGAAGCAACAAAACACATCGGACGCCACCAGGGTAGAAGACAGAAACAAGAACCGAAAGAATGGCACAGCACATCAAACAATGAATTGTATAGATTATTATTTTCATCATTTGTCATCCACCCCCCTCTATGAAGAAGCTTTACAATCTAAATGGGAAGGATTACAATCCCAAAGGGGGTTCAATCAATCAAGAGTCTGCATTGATATCATCCTGGAGTCGATGGAATATGGCAAATGATATAAATACGTAATGAAATCGATATGTTCAACACTTCATATATGTGCAGTGCAGCCGATGGGTGAGACCCATGTCATTAAGGAATGAGACCACTGGTCACCCGATAGAGGAAATGCACGAATATACGGTATATGATATGCCTAGAACCTCAGAGACCCCCTGTTTTGGAGTCAAAACGTGGTCTTTTCCCATCAAAACAAAGGGTCAGATGGGTTCTAGGTTTATGTACTCATTCCTGCACGCCTGAACACGAACCACGCGAAAACCGAACCACGCGGACCTTGTCCATGATGCCCTGCTCTTTCAGCACTCGCAGTTCCTTCTCCACCTCTGCCACCTGAGAACTCGGACATCGTAAGCCGACAAACGGACGGCAAACAAAAAACGGTCCCGGTCTACAGTATACGCGTGGATTCAGGTTCAGTATAACAACGGTATAACTGTTTCTTGAAACATTGCAAAAACATGGCTCAACGAACGTGATGTTCATCCTCGTGTAGAGATAACAGGAGCTTCCCAAACATCCCTATATGTCACCTACCTTATGCTTCTTCTGGGTATTTCCTGGATCATTCAAGAACCTTAAAGACCTTAAAGGGATCGTTTGTTTCCTCGGCTTCCTCAACCATCTCAACCTGCTCCTTCCCCATCCGCCCCATCCGCTCCAAAGGGACTGAAATCTGCCCGTCGCCATCATGGTCCATGGAGATCTCAGTGCCACGCCGCCAAAAGACGCATGGATGTGATGTGCGTCTTGCCTCAACCCCTAGCTTCCTCTCAGAGATGAAACCGTCGTTTCCACTGATCCTTTTGGAAAACGCAAATTTTGTTGATGCAACACACAACTATGCCACTATGCACTCAAGAGCGTATGACCACCGCGCGTTTCGGCCCTGTGGAAATTCTTCCAGAAAGTGCGCCCATGTCCATCGGGCCCCATGAAGCACACGAAACGCATCTTCTGGACACGCATCGAAATCGAGAAATGACCATTCATCCAATGAAAAACCATGAATGGCTGTTCCAATGGAAAAGGTCAGGAATGACGTGCGTATAAGACTTATACTAATAAGATATAAGATACAATCATATTCTTATATATAACATATATAGTAACTGTAACTATATTGACATATTCCAATATGATCTGGCCCGAAAGAGCCCCGGTCATGTCGCATAAAGCCACCATCTTGATGATGGAATGACACATTTGAAGACGACGACACACGTCTGTAGAACACGCAAAGCACTGTCAAAACAAAATTGGAAACAACACAATCATACGGCAATCTAAGTAATGTCAAAGCAATATGTAATAATGTAATATGTATGAATAGAAATGATTCATTCAAACAATACAAAATGTAGCTATATTATGCTATATTTAAACAAATCTTAAACACAAACAGTGTGTGTAAAGCCATGTGTCATTCTTCAAAGCAAAACAAAATAATTTACATATTGGGTCTATCCTGTTACCAGGATCAGTGGATGATGATGGTTAGTAAAGGCCTTCCTCAAATTTGAGCATTGTTTACCTGCAAACAATATAGGACAAACCCAAACAACTTCAATGCACAGCGCAGGACATTGTAAACAGGTTGAAGTGTACGGATGTTCTTTACAATGTTCAAGACAAGCAATGCTTCGCTGGTTTTGGGCTGCATGTCTAGCACAGAAGCCTCTCAACTCACATGCTTTTCCTCACAGTCACAGTGAGGGTCTTGTTGGGGGTCAAACAAAAGCATTCCCAACTGACCCCCAGAATGGGGTTGTAGAGCCGCTCGTGCCTTCTTCCGGGGCGGCGACAGAAGGGTCTCTCCTTTTATGACACTTAAACCAATTCACACCCGCATTTCTTTCAGAGTGAGTTGCTGCCAACAAACATTGGCATCACTACCTGGTTAAGTGGCTTTGGAAGACCTGGCGGCCAGCTAATGTACGCCCCTCCTCCCCGACCGCCGTCCGATGCCATCTTATCGAAATCTGTTCAAGACTTGGGTGAGAAATAACGAAAAAGAAGATCGTTCGCCTTACTATCACTACTCAGGATACGGAAACGTATTGGAACCATGGTAGACGGCCGGTGATCAGAGGCGCTGCATAGATCGTTCCCATGAGTTTCCACTGGACACCGGACACCCCAAGGCAACAAACCAAAGGACCGGACCGCTTGATGTTTCACGAGTTCAAACCTGTGAAGCTTTCTGAATTGCCTCAGAATCTGCAGATCTTGGGTCTACCCTAGTACCTGTAACAGTGGATGATGATGGTTAGTAAAGGCCTTGTTCAAAAAAGGTGATATATGTTTACTGACTGTTACAGGTAAGAACGGACAGACCCAATGCATATCAACGGACTCTTAGAAAATAACACAAACAATTCTCTGCCCTTCTCTTTGTTCTTCGGCCGGGTCGACCCGAGTCGGCCTTCGTGACACTGGGCGCCCGGGCAAAGAGGTCCCGGGCCGCCTTGACATGGTCCTGAACGACTGAGACCGTCGGCCCCGCGACGCTTTTCGCGAAAAGCGAAGACGGTGACGGAAGAGGTGGGAGTCTCTGGATTTCGCGAACGTTCAATCTTGTGAATCAGATGGTCTCGGTTGGTTTAGTTTGTTTGACTCGATTCACTTGGGAGACAGGATCCTCGACCGCCATAGATGACCCTAGCTCTTGCATGCTCTTGTCTGCTGAGACTGCTGTGACGGTCTTGGAATTTCCAAGACGTCCATCTTGCGCAGCGTGTCATGACGAACGCCGTGAAATTCTGGTCGAAATATGACTATGATGAACATATGTGTCGTTCTCCATGGAGTGCGATCCTTCTGAGGTCAACATTCAGTCGATCGTTCAGTCAACAAAAGCAGTTTTTGGAAATCCGGTGAGACCGTCCTGATGAGACAACACACACACCATGGGTCCCGATGAAGACCCGATTGTGCTGTTGCTTTCAACCGCGAAAGCTGGGGGATACTATTGAAGCTATTTTATATAACTACTAACTTATATATTATTGTATATGGATGTATATGGTATATATATATATATTATAGAGATTTTAATAGGTAGACCCCCAACCAATGGGCATGTCTTTCTTCCAGGCGATCGAACAGGTCTCCCTATGATTTAGACACAGCCTGTACTCAACCGAAAACTGTGGGACACAGACGAGGCCTGTCTGAAACAGAAGCTGTTTCTAATTCATTTTGTCAGCTCAATCCTCCAAAGAGTCCCTCCACACCAATTCTCGCAGTGTGGGTTTCCTGCGGACAACCATGCGTACCTTGCAACCTCACACATCCTGAAAGAAAAAAACAACAGTATACCGTATACCTGTTCTCCCTTATCTTTCAACCAATCCTGTCTCTCCCCAGTCCGCCGCACCCGTTCTCCCCCAGCGCGGCCCAGGGACATCGTTCAAAAGGCTGGCGATGGTCGTCAGAGCGGCCCGCCTAGGACGTCGGCACCCGGCGACTGATAAAGGTGGTCCCAAAGCCCCCAGGAGGAGCCCCCCCTGACTGGTGGGACCAGGGCCAAGGGCGCCAAGGCAAAGCGGAAAAACGACAGGCCCCAACTGTGCAATCGGGCTGGAGCTGGTCGGATCGAATATGTGACACAGTGGTTTTAGGCGAATAGTAGTAGTACGGCCAGGAGCCCCGTTCGGAGCGTCCGAACGCTCCTAGTAGTATATACTTACGCAAAAAGATCATGGCCTACACCGAAATGCACCGAAACTGACGGCACGGCACTTGGGCTCCAAACTTCAACCGATTCTGGGAACGGAAGGTCTTGAGCTCATCCAACAAGCCGTAGCCTCAGTGGTCTCCCAAGGGGTGCTGCGGGTCTCTCAAAGATTCTCCAATGAGGTCAATACCTTGAAGTTGGAGCAATGCAAAAACATCAAAAACATGCCATATGGCATATGGGATCCACGGAATTATTGAATCGCAATCCCAACAAAAACCGTTATTATGTATCTGTCATGTGGTTGAGGGAAACATGAACATCAGCTTCACCTCCATTGCACCTCCATTTGGTGAAGCCGCTGGTTCGGGTTCACGTGACAAAAGGTTTCTTCGTCCAATCCACCACATATCCTTCGCATGGCGCTGAACCCAGGCGATGCAAAGCATGGCAGTGCCTTCTGTTTGATGATCCGCTTAACCTCAACAGTGAAATTCAAACAATCTTAGGAAATAACATACAAAAAATCAATATACACATGGTCTATCCCTAGGCCTGTAGACCTTACTCAAAAATCCAAAACGGTGCCCAACCGCTGCGTCCTCACACACTGGGGCATGGAAAAATCCCAAAGGTCCCAGCATAGGAAACGCTGGCACTGGTCAGACGTCCCCCTGCAACATGTCAGTTAACGCTCCAAAAGTGTGTTAAATTAACTACATGACGCCTGAACATACCTCCAAAATTGAAGATACAACTTCGTCAAACCCATCTTTGGTGCCCACACGCGCTGGGAACTCCGTTTGTGTTGGCAAGTTCTTGAGGATGAAATTGTCCTGCAGGAACTGTTTTTTTAGTTCAGCTGAGCACTCACCAAAGAATAACACCACATCAATCACACAATTAGCGAATCCATTGGCTGAATATATGTTCAAAGCATGGACTATCGATGTGTTCAACTGTTTTCTCTGACCTAGTTTCAGCGACAAACGTAATTGCAAAAAACTGCGATAAAAAAACACCTTGTTTGCGAACATGGACCGCCAGCACCTTTAAACCAGCTTTAAAAAGGTGACGAACCAACGCAACACCACCTCTGAACTCCCTCGTTTGGCCGCACTGGCCGCAACCCGACGCCTGGAGAGCATTCTTTGCAGATGGCCTTTGTGGGGCGCGGCTCAGCAGTTTCTTCACAAAGACCACTGCGTCCTTACAATGAAATCGAAGCGCACACGCCTGTCCTACATGTCATCGTTTTCTGGTCTAGATGGACATGACAAACCCAGTCCTGAGAAGCATCGCACCAATACTTTGTGAATGCGATGTGGCATCTTTTGATCTGCGAACGGGACGGACATAGAAGCACTCGGTCAAAAATTGACCACATTTGTGAAATTCACATTCGAAAAGGAATCCTTTTGGTGAAAACATTTCAATGATTTCTAGGTCATTCCCGGACCAAGGTTGGGTGGTTGCGAGCATGAATATGTTTCAAATCAACTGTGCGGCGTGGTATTGAAATAAATAACCTGCTCGCACATGCACAAACGGACCGTCGGATATTCCCAAATTGCATTGCGCCACTCTCCGATGTGAAGCGTGCAAAGTGGCAACCAACCGCATTGTGAACAAACCACAAAAATCCAAAGTGCGACGAACCTGTTACTTTCGAAAACACAATTTAGTTTAAGTTGCACGACAAACTCCGCAAATACACAAAACAACGCGACATTGGCTATACGCGCCACAAGGCAACACAAACAAAAACAATCCCCCTACAATCTGCGTGGTCCCCCCAACCTTTTTTCAGCACCACGGGTCTTCCGTTTGTAGCTGAGTACCAACAACTTTGACAACGGTTCTGAGTTGAATGTTCATTGTATATTAATCCACAGCCCTGCCAGTTCGCCGGCGGGACCAGCTACACACTTCACTAGATGAAAGCCAGCCTCACTCATTTTCAGTCGCTGGGAAGATGGGTCTCACATTGGTGGGGCACCTGGGGCATGTTAGACGCAGTCCAGCAACAGCTTTTGCACGTCGCTTTTGGCAGGCCAAAGTGGTCGCTCCTAGCAGCTTCTTGGCAGCGCGTCACTGACCTCGCCCTCTTTCGCGCTTGGAAAAACGTGCTGAGGAAGGCTGCCCGTCACCACTGACAGGTGGCTGGTGACTACCTAAAGCTTGGACTCGTGCACGTGTTCGCTTCGTCCAAAGATAGGAGGTACGGCGTGCGTGCGGTAAGTGTGTTCATATCCCTGAATTTTGACCTAGCATGTTCCTGTAGTTGTTGTCTAACAGTCAAGCACAAGTGGGCAGATCATGGCAGGTCGCCTCAAAAGTTGAATGTCAAAACCAAAACGAGCAAGGATGAAGACCCCGAAAACAGTGGCTTGTTGTGCTGGAGCCCGAACCGAGTTCGATGATTTCAGGTCGGTCTCTACTTCAAGTTCTGCTGGATTGTTACAATGAGAGCCCACTCAAGATATGATAAAGCACTTGCTGAAAATAAACATAGCTTAAAGTGGAAAGTTATTTATGCGAAAGAAAGTGTGAGTAAGATATCAGAAAGCAAGTTGCAGAAGCTATTCCCCACGTGTCAGGTGAGGCTTGTTAGATTTTATGTCAGCCACCGTGCTGTCCTCCTCCTCCTCCTCCTCAACCGCGCATGCAGGACGGCAGTGTTCCCCGCCGGACCGCAACAGCCAGCTCAGGATGGCAGCGTTCCCCGCCGGACCTCAACCGCCAGCCCCGGACGGCTGTTCCCCGCCAAACCTCAACCGCGAGCTGCGTCGGGCAGTGGTCCCCGCCTGACCTCATCCGCCAGCTCCGGACGGTGGGTTCCCACCGGACCTCAACCGCCAGCTCCGGACCGCCAGCTCCGGATCCATGGTGGCACGGGCAAAGGGATGTGATGAGAGGTGCGCCGACCTGCGGTTTTCCAAGCAATGCGATTTTGTTGACTGTTGACTTTGATCGACATTGATAGGGCTTGAGCACGAAACTGTATTTCCATGCTAGTGCATAGTACATGCCTGACTTTGCCCATACTTGGCTCAAGATAAGGGCGCTCTACTTGTTAATGCTTTTAGCCTGTTGGCCTGTAAATTGAGCAGCCGCTTGAGTAGTCTTCGCTTGACAGGCATGGGATCTGGCAAGGGTGTCCTACCTTTTTGCGTTACTCCGTGGTCGGGCTTCGTAGTCGCAGCCTTTCATTTTTGAGGTGCAATGGGTAAGGGCACCTGATGGCAGGGGGAACGATCTTCTTTGAAAGCGCAATCACGTGGATGCTCTGGGAATTAAGGCTGCGTGCAGCTGTGCGTGGCTACAGTAAAAACAATTCAAGTATGTATACGTAGCAACAAGCCGACGGCCATCATTTTCTGACATCAAGAGGGCATCGCTTTCTTCGCTTTCTCATCAGTGTACTCAAACTTTTAGCTATAGTCCTTGAGTTGGCCGAGTTCATCAGTTACTCCGACGTATCCAGTATGAGCACAATCCTCAACGCCGGCTCTGACGGGAGGACCTCTTCAAAGTATGGGTGCCCATGAAATAGGTTGGGCCATTTCGATCGCCGCGCATGGTCAGAGCCAATTACAAGTAGGATCTCAAAGCTTGAAGCAAGCAAGTGAAAGACTCTGGCAAAAGCTCAGGATTTTGGCTGTGGCTCAGGTTATCATATATAGGAGCAAAGATGTCTATGCTTGCGCTGTGCGAACTGGCTGAATAGTGGAACTGGCTATTTGGTAGGCCGGCCGTTGCCAAATAGCGAAGCTTGCGGTAGGCCGGGCGTTACCAAGTAGCGGAAGCTGCGGTACCACTATCTGAGCTACAGCAACGGCAAACACGATGTCGTGTCTACGTCTTGGCTGGGAACAGGACGTTGGTTGGATTGCGTCGTTGAATCGGTGCGATTCGCTAAGCCGGTGTAAACCGGTGTCAGTCGGAAAGCCGGCGCGGTCAAATAATGTCAAATTATATCCAGACGCGCGCGATGTCGCAATGAAACCAGCCATCTGAGCAGGTTTCAGATGGCCTTTTCTCTTATGCCATCTGTCCGTGATTCTTGCTGCCTAGCCAACCTACGGACTAAGTAGGAAAAAACGGCTGGCCTTCGATCTCTAGATCGAGAACGGGCCAGTCTGCAGCGGAGTCAAGTAGTTATATCCGGCAGAATCAGCCAACTAGCCGTATCCAAGTATACAGTACATGGCGGAATCAACCAGCAAAAGTCTGCGGCTGAATCAGCCAGCCACCTATCCAAGTATCCGGCGGAGTCAGGCAGCCAGCCACCTATCCAGAAAATTTGTCAGATTGAAATATAATGGTGGGGATCATTCGAAGTAAATAGCTTGTTTTTTTTGCAAAAAAGAAGAACACAGGGCGGACCACCACCAAAAAAAAAGAGTGCAGAAACATGTTTTCCTTTTTACTTACTTTGTTACCTTGGGGGGACTCTCGTTGTACGATTGGTGGCAAAGTGGCCAGCAGCACACCGCGCTATGGGTTCAATCGATTCAATCCAGAGGCAGTCGGGCTGTAAGCAAGCTCTGCCTGTGGTTTGGCAGTGCTTGCTGGCAGTTGCTTGCGCAAAAAAGCAGTGACACCATCGACCGCAATCCGTGATCGACTCGATCGACCCAGAATCCTGTTCCAGGCGGAAGTGACAGGACTTCCTCCGGGCCTCTTCCTCTTTGCCAAAAGGAAGATTCCCACAGATCAGGTTGTACCTGCCAAGGGTTCTGGAGGGACGTTTCAATCTAGATTAAGCCAGGGTGGATGGTTGATGCACAATGCCCACGACCTTCCATGAATATCATAAATGAAAACTACTCACTTTTGGATCATAGTGGATCCCATTTAGTAACAGTAGTTCAAACAGTAGTGCAGTCCTGCTAAACTAGTTCAGCGACCAAAGCTGGTCGGTCTATGTCCACCGACTTGTGGCACAATTAACCCCTGCTCAGACTAGAGCTACTTCCAGTCATGTTTCATCCATGGGTACACTCATCAACTGCACTGCGACAACCGTGGGTTGTCTCAGCAAAGAACCATCTTCAGTGCTGGCCTTCGAGCTCAAAGAACCACCAGGAACCGGGCCCTGACCACTTGGCAGGGGTGCCCCACCGCGCCAGAAAACACGCGCACATGATGATGCCACATGCCCACACATCGCAGGACTGGGTGTACCTGGTGGAAGGGGGCGTGCGAAGCGATGCGAAGCAGCAATGTGATGCGTGGCCGCATGGATGTCGCACCTCCTGTCCAAATCTGGCTCATTGTTTCCCAGCTTTTTTTGAAGCAATGTTTTCCGATCTGAAGGGAGGACAAAGTCATCCCATGGCATCAGTGTGTGACTCAAAGCACCCCCCAGAAGCCTGGGTGTCCACCTCTTCATACCTGTTTCTACCTGCTCCGTTGTCGGTCCTTTAAACCTCGGGTTTTCACACCGAGGAAACCTCAGTCCTTTAAACATCTGACTCCACCGTTTAGCGCTCGCCCAGCGATCGTGCTTCCCTTTGATTAGATGGGTCAGTGATTGAGGTGCGATGAGGTGAATCATGGTGAATCTAAGGGTCACTATACTAGTTGATACTTTCCAAAACTGGTGTTTTTTTCCCAATGATTCACGTGATTCATAGATTTTGGAAAATCAACATGTGTGATGTGGTTCCTTCCGGTGCGGTGCTTCGTTCGCTCCTTTTTCTCCGAACGTCCGAATCGCCCTTCGCCGACCGTCAACGGAGACGGCAGCCTGAGATGAACGAGCAGCGCGCTTGGATGTGGGAAGGAACTGAAGATGAGCCAAGAGGTGCCAAGAGGTGCCAAGAGGGGTGGGGTATTCACCTATTTACATCTCCAAAATGGACCTCATTATTCGGACCACCTTGATTTCGAGATATCTCGATGGACCTCTTGCGACCTGGCTCCGACCAGCCATCCATCGCCTCTCGACCACGCCCGACCACGCTCGACCATCGTCCATTCGCTCCGACGAGTCTGCCCCGAAAAGGAAGGCCCGGACCTCAAATCGGATCCAAACAGTTGACTCTCCAGCGCTTCGGCTAGGGCTAGCCCGGACCTACGCTAAACCGGTCAACCCCCTAGCCCGGCTCCAAAGGTAAGTAGTACTAGTAGCATGTAAAGCATGTAGTAGATCTTGATGCACAGCTAGCTTTTTGAGAAGCAACCCTAAACCCTAAACCGTTCCCAGTCTCCAAGCTGAAATGTAGTTCTTTGCAAAGACTGCCACCTTTTCTCCAAGACAAACATGCAGTTGTACTGCCAAAATTTGAGTTGATACAGTCTGTGGTACATTTAAATGCCTTTACCTCGTGTGAGGATCTTTTACGTGAAAAACAAGCACTGGTTATTTGATGTGTGATTGTTATTTTTGTGTATGGAGGAGGGGGTTTAGGAACTTTGACCTATTGGTATGTCAAGTCCTGTACACTGTAAAATTCATTACCTAGCACTCTTGATTTTTGTTCCATAGCCTCCAGGATCCCCGTTTGAATGAAGGACGGCCACAACTACAACAAATTCATACAACATCAACACCTTGGACGCGTTTTGGCGCCTCTACTCGCGCGGAGGTGGAACTTGGTTGAAGCTCGGTGGCGAAGCATGGCCTGGGCAGCCCGACCGAGTCATGACAAAACATGTGTCAGTTCTGTCAGCTAAAAATTGTGGGGTCTGTGGGGTTCTTCAAAATGATGTGCTCTAAACCCGTCCAAACAAAAAAAACGTGAAAAAACTCACTATGCTGGGCTCCAACGTGTCATGGGTTTGTGCCCCAACTGTCTCACTATGCTGTGCACCCGACCCAACTGTCTACGTTGGGCGCCATGGTGCCATGGTCCACCGACCAGCGTGGATCCCCGGGACCTGTTCTCGAACGGAACCGCGAAACAGCTTTGGAGGCCTTTTGGCGCGAGGCGCAGTCGACGTGTCAAAAACACAGAACGAAAGCCCTCTCCCCCGCAAACAAATGATCTTAAAGATCGAGGCCCGGTCTTGAAGGCTGAAGGTCCTTTCTTTTTGTTGTGTTCTGTTGATTTGTCATTCAATGCCTTTCAATCCATCCTGGCCAGCCTGGTGGGCTCGCTTCCCGTGGCGGCACTTCTTGAAAGGACACCACTCCTGAAGCTTCGTTGCATTCGAACCAAAGAATCGCAGGGCTCCAAGTACCTTCTTGAGAAGGTGTTTGTGGTGGTTTTGGAGGGTCCAAATACCTTCTGAGGCACTTGGAGCCCTAGGGGTGAGCAAAAAAGCAGAACATGAGCCTTGTGTTCTGACCTGTTTGGTGCTTCAATTACTATCGGGGAACCAAACAGCATGGTTTGTACTGAATGCAGTGGTGCAACCGCAAATTGCGCCAATCTGGGAACTCCCTCTGCACGGTGTGACTCTTATCAGTCCATTTCCTTGGTTTCTGACTACGAAAACATGCGGGGGCCTATCTTTTGTGACATTCACTCGATAGTCTAAATCAACAACATCCAAAGGGAACTTGGTTTGACATCCAGCAGGATGATGATCCACAGCATACAAAGTGACCTCGGATGATATGATTCAAAACAAATAAAAATATATATATATAAATAAATCATATAAATCATATGTTAAATATATATATATAAATAACTAACACCTGTTGTATGTCTTCAACAGCTTCCGCTCTCTCCGTGCAACTGCTCTCCCACTCGCCCGCAAACTTCGAACTCCTGCCTGGACTCGGGCTGCTGGTGGGTGGTGGAACCTCTTGGAAGTGGTTCACAGGCGCACCACCTGTCAGCTGGGTTGTGAGGAACATATCTGTCAACATGCGATGCTTGTTGACAATGGATTCACCTGATCTGTTTGAGATTTCCATGCGCGTGGCAGCGATGTGATTATATATGAGTTTGACGTTCAGTGTCTGATTCGATGTAGGTGGGTCGTTTTCTATGTTTTCTTGGCGGTTTATACATAGGATGATTGTACATCCAATAGCCAACCCCCCCATGGCAGCGATCGTCGGATCGTCCGGTCTCTCCCAAAACCGTCCATTCGGTGGATCGCCGAAGGAACGGACTCGTTCCTTCGAGCGGTTTCACAATGCCCAAACACTCCATAGGACTGCCATATATGCTTGCTTACATTGGGGTGGTTTTGGAGGGGTCAATGTAGGCATATATGGCATGGAGTGTCTGGGATGGGGTTTCACAAGACTTTATAAACTCGCCATTTAACGTAACCTGTTTGCCAGGGTTTTACAAGTCGAGTGGCATGGGCCGAGTTTGCAAGCAAGGAACCACAGTTGCCGGTCTTGGCTTCAAGCTTCTTTCCATGTGACTTGCTTTGTGGTCAACTCCAGATTTACTCCCCAATACACCTTATTTAGCCAAGGGTTTCTCTCACTCTGTCCCACTCCCCAGACCTGCAACGGCCACGGGTGGCATCGATTCTGTAGAAGTTGGGCTGAGTCCGGGCACAGGCAGCGCAGGTCGCGCGCCAGCAGCGGGCACGCCTGGAACACCTGACGAGCCAAAAAGGACGCGACGATGAACACCCCCATGGATACAATATGATACAATGAGCTAGGCAGAGTTCATATGACCCCAGGCGGGAAAATGATGTTTTTATCGGGTCATCATTGTTTGGGTCACCGACGTTCATGCCATGGTGTTCCATGCGCGGCCCTGGGAAATCATCATCTTTCATCGGTTTCACAACATGTTCACCGGCTTCACACCATGATCATCGGTTTCACAACATGATATATGATCGTCGGTGTCATCACATTGTCAGACAGGCTTCATGTCGCCGGCTTCACAACACCATCGGTTTTCACATATTCCACCGTCTTGGCAGGGAACATGTCCGCACGGCTTGGCGTTGTGCTTTTAGTTGGTTTGGGCCGTGGAGACCGGTGCGTCATATCGCGTCCGCTTATACCGAGCCTGAAACATGCCCGCTCTGCGTGGCAAACGAGCATTTTGCTGCTGCTCTTGCTGCGTGTGGCGCAGCTGACCTCCCCAGATCCTTCTTTGGAATGCCTGTGGCAAATGAATGCAAAAGAGCTGGATTCGTACCTGCAGGCTGGATTCTAGCTTCACGTTGTGCCGGAGACAATGCGGCTGATTCCATGGCAGCAGTCTTATGCTGGGCCAATTTGTTGATTATGTAATACCTCTGCTTCTGATCCAATTGAGCATTGCAACCTGTTGGCAGTTCATAGACTCAACAAGAAGGCCTGGTCTACAAAGCATTCTGGATGCACTGGCCCTCTTCATTGAGAACCACTGATAAGATCTGATATGCCTCAACCTGCGCAAACATGATTGAAATATGTTCGCGCACGTCGATACCTGATTCAACCGTTCAAGCATCTGGCTAATTGTTGTTGTTTCCTGAGTTTGTTCTCAATTTGTGTGTGTCTTCTGGGGGCCCGCTTTGTGAGTTCTGTGTTTCATTTTGAATAACATAAATGTGTTGAACACATCGTTTTGTGCGACAAATGCACAAGCGCCGACCTTTTCTTAGCTGTCCAAGGAGGATGAATCGGAGCTGTCTGAGCTGGAAGTGTCCTCGCCTTTGAGGTTTTGTTGGGTCAATTGCCTTTGGCGAAGGCCCTTAAAACGCTTTTTGGCAAGCTCTGCTTCATATCATGCAATCTTGCTGAACAAATTGGTCTTCAGGCATGAAGGTGCTCAGCTCAGCCTCCCGATTGATCAGTGTGTCTTTCTGGAAGCACTTTTGCGTGTGTGTTCCAAAATGGAAGTCTTTGCTAGCGCATCTCTATACCGCATTGCTAGAGCCTAGCCCTCTGCTTGCTTCGACATCTCTCTGCATGTTTCGACATGTCCGCAGCACTGAAAGCACAAAGTTGACAAAAACATAAAGAACTGCAGCGCCACTCTGAAAATGAACGCACAGCAGTTACTTGGCAACGACTTGCAAGCACTGGTTTGTCAGTCTCCACATGCCAAAAACAGCACATCTGAAAAATAACAACATATTGGCGCGAAACCCATGTAGCGCGAAGCTAGAGCCAAGCTAGCGCCCTGCTGGTGTTTAGCACGCTTTCCATGGGGGCCCGCTTCAAAACAAACTTGAAAAACACACCCTCAACATGAAATACAAACAACACTACATCAAACATATTCAAACATGAAACCGCCCTTTTCGGACGCGGCTGCCATCTGTCTACAACCTTCCCACCAGTGGCCCTGCGAACACGCTATTCAGCGAACCTCCGGTCCTTGCCGCCATTTGGTACGCGCATTGCTTGATGGGTTTGAAGGATAGATGTGGCCACAGGTCTGGATGGAATCTGTGGTCCCAACCACAAACACACATGTCTTTTAACTCTGCTGTTTTGGTGTTCTATTGTGAGATTCCTCTGTTGTTCTGTGTTGATTCAGTGTCTCGCGGCCAAGTGCATGTATAATAATAAAACTATGACAATTTTGTCAACATGTTCTATGGACTTCACTTTCCCTCCCTCGTCATGACCAACGCGGCTTAGACACCTTCGCCTTCACGGAAGCCTTGGCGCTCCGGCGAGGGGGCGCCTGGTGCATCGAAGGATCGGTGGCCACGAGCCGAGGGCACCGATTTCAGCCCACCAAACCATGGTAGGTGGACACCCATTATATATAATAGAGAAAATTAGAGAAATCTGTTCATCTGACCGGGAGGTGTCTAGTGGGGCCAAACACGGGCCCGACGGAACCCCAGGCAACGGGCTGGTACTAAACTCAAACGCACTCCCTATAATGTGGGGGCCCTATCTTGTTTAATCTTGTTTATATAGACTACTAAGTAGAAAGTCATGTCACATGTCACAGTATCTCGTTGGGACTACTTTAGTAACAGATCACACACTATCTCGTTCAGACTACTTTAGTATCATCAAGCAAAAGTATCTCGTTTATGTGGGGCCCTACCTCGTTCACAAGCAGATACTGCTGATAGACAAGCAAAGAGCATGCCGTAGACTACTTTAGTAAAGCCTACATGAAAGTGGTTGCTCATTGGTTCTTGGGGGAGTTGAAAAGAAAGCACCACTCACCACTCTGACAAATGCAACGAAACGCAACGAAACGAAACGAACCTAAAACGCACCCGGTATAGGAAACCAACAACACCAGCACACAGCCTTCGATTTTAACGCCCCGGATACGGACAGCTACTCATTAACGCATATGCTTTGACTATCTGCTACACACTGCACAACTCATCCATGGGTCTCATCCGCGCATACATCGCTCTACAGCGCCTGATCTACAGTGCAAATTTGGAGGCTGAGGCAAGTTCATTGCATGTTGCAGCATGGCAAGCACAAGGTTGAGAGTTGCTACAGCTACTGTAGACTCACTTGCAGCATCTGCGCAATAAAGCTTGAGGAATACGACGGGCAACGCCAAAGGGCCCGCCCGCAACGTGGGCCCCAGTGGGTGCTGTACTCATCTGACCGGGCCCAGGGTGCCCAGGTTTTGACCCACAGCCACATGGACCCACATCCCGTCTTTGAACATGTCCTGTTATGGTTGGGATCTACATGGCACCCAAAAACAAACCGACCGGTTGACCAAACTGATGGTTGACCGAACCGATTCGCCTTATGGTAGGGCTCCAAGTTTTGATCACCCATCTCCGCATGAGTTACTGAAGGTGCTCATTGCTTTCTCTGCTTCTAGTCCCAGGCCGGCCTTCCTCCGCTCGAAGCTGAAAAGCGCCCAGGTCCTCCAGTCGCGAAACGACACGGCGTTTCGCGAGGCAACGGTCGTGGCCGGTCGTGGCGAAGGCGAACGCGAAGGCTCCGGTAGCCGGCACTGACCCGAGTGTCTGTTATTCTTCACCACCCGATTGACACAGTTTTGAGACCGATGAAATTAGGTTAAGTTCAAGCAACCTCTGCAATTTTTAGACGTTATAAAGGATGTTGTCAGGACAACTGCAGGTGAGCTGTGATGAACATTATATAACCTTCTGCAAGTGAAATTAGAAAGCAGTCTGTGTGAACAATGGTATTGAACATCAAAGGTTCTTGATAGTGTTTGCATAAAGTTTGTTCCCTTGTAGCGCTTTATGTTTTACATGTGATGCGCAAAGATGCGCAAAGCAGGTTTCAAGTGGACAAAGAATGTTCTTAGATCGGACTGATGTCCGTGCTTCATCAGTGTGGGTCACCAAAAAAAGGCTTTGATTTCAAGTGCGGGAATGGATTCTTTAAACCGTAACTCAAAAACAGCGTTCCCTCGTTAGGGTGCGTCTATTTGCGACGGTCATATTTGCTGCTCACAATCCTATCGCTCGCTTTGGGGTCCTGAGGTGTGGCCTTCTTCACATCAATCCACTTGCCATCAATGGCCTGGGAGACGGCTCCGGCACCGGACTGGTGCTGGCGATTTGGTGGGCAACTTTGCGATCCACACTCTGCTGGTAGCATGCTAGCATGGGAGGTCGAAACTGAGGTCTGAGGTCTTGTTGACTGGATGATCCAATCTTCTACCCACGCCAACAACCTGAAGTGTCGTGCACGAGAACAGACCTGACAGTGCCGAGACTCGCCGTGCCGGGAGACTTGCCGTCACCCGTGTCACCCGTCACCCATGGTGTTCACCGGAGAAAACCCATGCCGTTGTGGGAGGATGTCAAGAAGCGGAAAGACCAAACATGTTGTTGACCTCCTGAACTGGAAAGACTGGAGGTTCCAGAATCGACTACAAAAAGCACCAAGATGGAGACAGCTTCCCCGCTTTGACCACAACAGCCCAGCCCCGAAAAAGAATTGAGCGAAACGTACGTGCTTCCCATAGTCTGCGATGGCCGCCTCGGATCCAAGCAAGGGTCATGCTGGGACATGCATGCTTAGTAAACTACTATCAATGACAACAATCCCCACCCGCAAAACTGCCAAGTGATGGTCTTGATTCAAAACATAATATATACAATATAGTATAAGGACTCCTTGTGATTGTCAAAAGTCATAAACACGTCGTTCAGAGCTGGACTGTCCAAACAACCAGTCAGTGTGACGATAAAGCTCCGCTTTAGGGACAAATCAAACACATATGCAGTAGATGCATTAGATTGTGGCTGCAAATGCTTTGATACAAGATGTAAAGCTTGGGGAACCTACTAAACCACATATATTTTAGTGTATATATATATAGCTATGCATCTTGGGTCTCTCCTATCACCAGTAACAGTGGATGATGATGGTTAGAAAAGGCCTTGTTCAAAAATGATCATTGTTTACTGACTGTTACAGGCAATAGGACAACCCCCAAAAAAAATAGGTGAATGCTGAGAACGTGTCTCCAGGTCACTCGACCGCAAGGTCACTTGACCGCACCATGACTCGCCTGGGAACCCATTTAACGAAGCCTTCGGGGAGGACCCTGGTCGCCCATGAAGGACCAGGTCGGGTATGGGTACATGGCTTCAGATGGGTACATGGTCCATGATCAAGGGTGCTATTCGAAGTTTGGGACATCAGTTTGGGACGTTTGTACACACTCATCCCCCTGCCAGATGGCTCTCCATCCGGAGAGGAAGCATCTCGATTTTCTTACAGCCCTGCTAGTCTCCCAGGTGCTTTCAAAACCCTCTCTTGAAGACCAACTGTCACTCGCATCACCCCCACGGAGCAGTGGGCATTCTGCTTCGGGTATGTCACCGATCCCCAAAACAGCAATTGGATTGAAATAGAACAACTGGATGGATGATGGGCTGGCCTTGACCTTAGTCTGAGAACAACTGAAGTTGGACATAGAATAACTGTATCGTGATTATATATATATATATATGTAGGGTGATCTCCGCTGCTGCTTCTGCTTCTGCTGATTGTCACTTGAACACCCAAAGAGCCCTTTTATTGGAAGGAAACAGTGTTTGATAGAACATCTGATTCATACGACGACTGGTCTGGCTACCAGCCACCAAGAAATGTGAGCAATCAGGCAGCCCCAAACCATACCGATATGGGTGTGTATTGGAATAGGGAGACCTTGCAGTTGACCCCCTCCGGGAACAATGAACATAGACCAAAACCCACTGGTGGGGTGTAATATGTTAGTCATTGCGTCATTGGTGTGAGGATCTTCTCAAAACTGCCATTTTGGGCCATGGTCTTCGTCTTCAGAATGAACCCAAGTCTTCACCACTACAACCTCCATCTTGGAGATGCAAACGTAGTACATCCTACATCAATTCTCTGCTAAAAGTAACATCACCCCTTATATCTAAATAAGGTACTCTCCTCGCATCAATCTCTCATAAAGGGTGTGTGGTGAAACACTGGGAGTTCTCATCAACAAGGTGAGAGGAATTCGCTTGGCAGCTGAGTCGCTTCCACGCATGAGACATGCTCAAAGACTACAAAGCCAAAACCGCGTGGCTTTCCTGTGGTTTTGTCCATCATGACCTCACGAACAAGGACGGTCGCAAGTGGGCAATTGACTACAAATTCCCCAATTCTGGTGCAGTTCTTTTGCTGGGGTAATTTGATCTGCCCCAATTTTGCCTTGGATGGTCAGACTTCAAGATTCCACTGCTGCCTTCTTGCAAACAATGAACGGTTGACAAAACTTTGAAATGCCGAATCTGCATGAAGGTACAGTGACTCACAAGTTCTGGATTAGGCAATAATCGTCATGAAATGTCATGAACATTCTCTCTCATGACCGCTGGTCATTGCGCCCTTTTGGTCGTCCGCAGCCGGTGATCGCATCGTCTGCTCGCATCGTGGGGCCAACTCATCTTCGGCCCAACCCCACAACTCAAGAACTTCAGAACTAACCTAACCATCAAGAAGAACACATCTAACCAGAACTTCACACCCAGGGCCTTTGAACAATCATCTAGCCAAATGGAGATCATCTGAGCAGTGGAACCCTCCTGGCGAGACTGATCCACACAGCTCGTGCTGGAGGAGTCTCCTGTCTCAGGAGGGTTCCACTCCGATGCAAACCCCCCAAAAGTCCACGGGTGAACACACGGGTTCTCTGGGGCCCCCACCACCGCGTCGGTGATGCGGCCGTATTGACTAAAGTAATTGCCCAGCATTTCAAGGGTGCAATGGTGTGGCAATCCACCCACGAAGATCTTCAAATGGTCCTGGGCGGTGTCGGGCGGATCTTACATTATCTTGTGGGCCACTTGGTGGCTACGTGTCTGTTCTCATCTCCTCCCCAGACCCAGATCTTCGTAGGGTAGACGGTTTTAGTTTACATATGTTGTTTTGTTTTTTTTTGTGTGTGTGTGCGTGTGCGTGTGCGTGTGTGTGGAGACATGTACTGGTATTGAGTCAGTTTCTTTTGAGCCCTGAAAATGGTCCTGGTACGTGTGTCTGTTGTACCTGGTTATAGCTTTTGTTGGTTTCTTCACTGAAGTTTGCACAACATCACTGGTCCGATCCGATCTGCTTCGGACTATTCATCCCATCGGAGTCTCACTGAGATTCATTGACTCGACTGGGTCGCTTCACTCCAACAGCTGATGAAACAGGATGTGTTTTGATGCAAGAACCTGCGCAATGTGTTTTTATCCTGCATCAAGAAAAAACATATACAAACTCCTGAGTCCTGCAGCAGTGCGGCTCTCCTTTCGCCCGTCAAAGTCACACACAAAAAGAAAAATACAAGTTGAAACTCAGAATATGTCATGCTGCTGCTTTGATCTGCTTTACCATGTCCAAACCATGATGTCTTGATGGTACCGTGGTATACGCTGTCCAAGCTTGCTTATCCCCCGCACCACTCCCTCTGAATGTCTCTGACATATATAGTATATAGTTTGTTTTATGTCTTCTTCAACCCTCATGGTGTCCAGCAAACTCTGCCAAAAGGGATACACGTGTGCTATCACAGAATCCTCGAATCATCTGCTCCTTTACCATCCTTAAGAACAACCCGTGTTCCCAGTCCAATCGATCCGGGGGGCAGATCCTTTCGGAATGCTACCTGAGCCACAAAACGCCACGCAGCCGGCTCCGTCGCGACGTGTTGATTCACACGATTTCAATGGGATCCCAGAGTCGGTTCTTCCGAATCTTCCTTCTTAACCCTGGAACAAAACAATCCGAATCGTGTGAAGATTCAACTTCCGAATCCGAATGTTTGTCGAATCTTCCGAATCGCCTTAACCAAATTCAACAAAATTACTATGAATTCTTAGAACTTCTCTGGAAGTGAAGCAAGTGAAGTAAGTGAACCATTGAATGGGCTTTTCTTTGGAAAAAGAAAGGATTGCCCCCCTCTTGTGGTTCCTAGTTTATATGAAGCACCACGTCATCCATGTTCTATAGGTGTTGAGTGCTTCCGTATTGGTCCATGTTGTGAATATGTGTGATTTCATTGTAGAAAAGGGGGTTTGCACATGTCTATGTTGTGATGGTGGACATTTGAGGTCTGTAAAGGTCCATGAAACAGGGTGTTGTTGATGAACGCAGGCTTTTGGACATGTTTGCATTGTGAATGTTGATGATATTTGGGAACAACCCAAACCCAAGAACCACTTCCAAAGTGGAAAGGAACCACTGTTCCAATTGGATAAACGTCGGAATGCAACTGATGCTCCCAAGACGCCCATCTGCACCGCCATCGGTATCGGTGCCCCACCCACCGATGCCATGGCGTTCAGCGCCGCCAGCGCCACGCCCGTGGGTGGCACCGGCGTCGGCACGAAGTTGGGCTTGGTGGACCTGCGGCTTCGGCCGAGTGACCGGTGGACCGGTGGCTCCCCAAAACGGGGGACTGACCGGAGCGAGCCGTGTGTGGGGCCGGATCGGGTGCCGGATCTGGTGGCACCGGGAGTGGCACTGGAAGGAAAGGATGGACGTTTAACGTCCGCGGTGAGGGGCAAGTGATCTATCAAAGTCGCGTTTGGAGCGTCGATCTGCCCTGGTGGTTCGACTCCAGTGTTCCAGTGTTCTCATCCCAACTGACGCCCCGGGGGCTGCTGAGTATCCTTTTTGGTCACAAAGAGGTGTGCACGCATTCCAAGCTTTCCAGAAAGTGCTTGAAGAAATCACGCAACCGATCCCAACAGTCCTGAATCCTTCCGTTCAGCGGAATAATTTGTGTTCGGAATCTCCTTCCGCCCTGACCCATGAACAATTGCAAGCCGCATGGACGTTGTGTCCAAACTCATCAAAACAACGGTTTTTTGCCAGCATCCTTTTGAGAAGCTCCACATGTTACGAGCCACCTTCAAGCTTCTTCCCTACGCCCCTAGTTCAGCTGTCAGTTTGACCTTCTAACACTGACTTTTCCTGAGGCCTGAGGAGCAACTTCTCCAACCCTTCTTGCAACCTCCCAGACATACAAGGAGGTGGAACACTATTGCCCTCATAGAGACACCAAGCACCACAGATTCCAAGCATTAGAACATATTAGAACCTCACGACTGCGCGTTCGGAAGTGGATGGAGTCTTCTCCCCGTCGATGTTTCAGGGACCTGTCATCTTTTTGGGGATGTCTTTGTGACCACATCCATCCACATCCAGAGAGAAGACTCGAACTCGAACCCCAAAAGCAGGGCTCCCGAGCAGGGCGAGCTCGGTCGCCGAGCGGGGCGGCACCGGGTCCTGCAAGGGCAAAGGACGGCGCAGGAGGGTAGCGATGCCATGGATGGAGGATGGGGATTGGGCTTTGGTTGCTGGATGACTTTGTGGATGAGGGATGATATGGATGACCAAGCAACATGAAATTCATTGAAATTCCGTGAGGAAACTATCATGAACATGTTCTTAACAGCAAACGTCTGAGTCTCAAACACAGTTTCAAACACGGCGGACTCTTCAGTGGAAACGAACTTCTCACCAGGGTTTCAAAATGTTCCCAACATGTTCCAACCATCTCAACGTGAGATCCCATGATTCTGGTGTCTAAAATTCAGTGGTTCACACCCCAAACCCACCTGTCTTCCACGAGGCGCTCCTGCCACGCGGGCCACACGAAAAGACCCAAGGCCGTAAGGCCCACCAGGCCTCGCCGCACCAGACGAACCAGTCAGGTCGCGCACGAGTCGAGACCAAACCGAAGACATGCGTCATGGAAGTGGAAAAGAATCACCTTGCTTGGTACAAAAAAGATTGGAACATCCAAAATGGGTCTATTGGACCTACTTCCCTGTCAGTGGACAGTTTGTGTGAAGAGTCACTGCCATCGCTGCCATCTGAACCACTCTCCTGTAGGGTGTGCTGCAGTGTCTGAACGATCGAGCATTGAGATTGCATATGGGTTTTTAGACCAAAAGAGGAAGACCCCGCACCAATAGGTTTTGGATGGTTTTGGTCTATGTTTCTTCTTCCAGGGAGTCGAACTGGGAGGTCTCCCTATTTAATTCTATTTAACACACACACAACCAGTGATGCGAAGGTACTTTGGCTTGTACTGAGGAAGATGATGAATGCTTTGCAAACTAACACTGACCCGTCTTGTCAGGAGTCCCGGTTGAAACGGTAGTTATAATACCGACCAATGCAGCTGTTGCAGGTGATCCTTCTTCATCTTCAACACCCAAGTGAATCCACGGAATCTGCACATACCTGGACCCTCCAACAGGTCACCACCTATCACTTTCAAGTCTCCAAAAGCCGTCAGAGGAGACCTATAGTACTATTGGAAGGTGATGGTAGTTGTGACTTATCATACTTCAAGCCACTTAGAGTCTTAGAGTGGCTGATTGTACGATCCATCTTCATTTGGGTATGAAAAATAGGGAGACCTTGCCACGGCAACGACGCCCCTGGATTCGAAGGAACATAGACATAGACCAGTCTACCCAGCCAAGGGCGAGAAAGGAGTACCTCTCTATGAACATACCAGGACTTGGACCCTCCAGAGTACTTCTTAAAATGAGACACATGACCCGTTTCAAAAAAAATACCGTAAAATGGTTCACAATGCAATACTCTTTTTCCTCTTCTGATTGCCTTAGGCTCACGCTCACATTTACAATATGTTAAACAATCTTCCAAGGTACTTTGAGACTCCACGCGCTTCTTCGCCCGCCGCGGGTCCGGTCGCGTGGACCCGCGCCTTCTCCGATGGTCAGCACCAGCTCGGCCGCTGGGACGAAGCTCCAACGACCGTCCTGGCGCGCGGACGCGCCGCGGACGCGCCGCGGACGGTCGTTGAGCTCATCCAGTTTGGGTTTGAACCAAAAAGGAAGCAACAAAGATGAAGGAAGGAAGGAGAAAGACACATGAGTTCTACAACAGTGTTGTGGTGTTTCTGACCTTTGACAATGCAAAAAGGAATTCCCAATGTATATAGGGGGATGTGTACACATTGTATGCCTGCTTGATGTCTCTTTTCAAGTGTTTGATATTGTTTGATGATGGATGAATCCCATAGGTATACCAGCACCGGACCGAGCAATGGATCCTCCATCCTCCTGGAGCTCAAATCGCCGCAAATAGCCCATCCCATCCTCGCCTGCGTTGGGTCTTGAAAGAGCATCAGAGCTTCCTGCACCTCACCATGAGAAGCCATCCAGCATCATCCAGCAGGTCATTTCACCAAGTGGATGTGACACATACCTTGGAAAACACCCTAACCCCTAAACCCCTATTTAAATGGTATACCCTTACACCTTTTTGGCATCCAAACTGGAAGCGACGCACGATGTTCATCGACCGAGCAGCCGCCCGGTCACCCATCCGAACCGCGTGCTCGGCCACCTGGCTCGCTCTGAGAGGCGGTGCCGTGGTTCCTCTTTGGCGTTTTTGGGGTGAGACACCATGGTGTTCTTGGAAGGGGTTGCCTTTGATGTTGCTATAATATGCTGCTATAATATACTGGAACTCATGCGTGTAGCAATAGGGGTATCGTGTTGTTGACGCCCCGTTATGGTTTTCCAAAGGAAAACCGGAAATCACACTCTTGGATGAAACACCCTTGTATAAAGTAAATGACAATAATTTTGAAAATGGGCTTGATCAGGGATGATTGGGGTGACTTCAGTGACTTCAATCTGGCATTGGAGCACCGTCCCTTCTCGAATGGTCGAGATCCAGGATTCTCCAATTTAGATGATCGACACTTGTCAAGGTCAATATATTCTATTTCCCCATAGCCTAGAGCCATAGACACAAAAAGCGGGTTGTAGACCCAACAAGTCGAAGGTGGCAACCCCATCCCTGTTGTTAACAGTTTGTTGTTCTTATTGACAGGTCATACAAGGAACCAGGAATTCTAGGTTTATGGTTTTAGTCTTTGGAACCACTGGTTACCAGCTATACTTAGTGGTAACTGGATGCCCTGCGTAAGTTAAAAAACTAGATTACTTAAACTATATCTAAATCCTAGCTCGATTCGCTCGATGGATTTCCAAACTTGTAGTTGAACAGATTGTTGAATGTTCTTCGAAAGGTTTTGAGGGCGCAAAGCCTTTCAAAGAGTCAACAGTTAGGAAAAAAAAAAAGGTCGCAATATGTGGGATGCACCACTAGTCACTACATTGGGATCTCGATCGATGATTTTGGGGCGATATCGATACCCTCGGAGGACCCCTCGGAGGACCGATCTCATCCGATCCCATCCGACGCCGGTCGGACGGCTTCTTTCGATGATTTCTTTCGCCACTGAAGTGAAAAAGACCACTATTCTAATAGCTTCTTAAGTTACTACTAGTAAGGCACCTGTTACTACTAGCGATGCACTTGTTACTACTAGCGAGACATCACTGTTCACCCACTGGTTGGACACATTCTTTTTGGCCATCTGGTCCCTTCTGGGGGGCCAGTTTCGGCCATGTGGCCATCCTCTTCTATGGCAAGCACTGGGCGTTTCAGTGAGTGGAGTGGATTATTCCGCGGGGCGCCTCGCTCCAAATGGCCGAGCATAAGGACGTCACACAGGGCTCAGCCCAGACCACTGGAGTGCCCTTGGGCAAGGACCTGAGCGTCGACCGATGCCGATAGTCGAAACCGTTCGGCCTGACACCGTTGGGTGATGCGAAGCTGTCAAGATTGTCGAGTCGAGGCCCCAAATGGAGGGGCTTCTTTGAGCAGCGCTTAAAAGTTACATGTCCTTATTGCGCCGTAACACCCTTTGGTCCATTGACGTGCTGATGTCCAAGACCTGGCCATGAGCTCGGCCGTCGGTGAGACTTGCGCCGTGGCTTTCGGTCGCCCGCTGCGTCCGCGCGGCTCCCACAAGTTCTGCCGCCATCGGCGGAACCAGTGGCTCGAGACCTGGGCGGAGGCTGATCGACACACGGCGCTGGCGGTTCAACGGGAAGAAACATCCGTTCGGCACTTGCAACACGGACACGGCTGTCACTGGGAGGCGTTCCAAAGGTTCTTCTTCTCCGAATGAGTCTCAGGAGTCCAAAAAAACAGAGCAACTGTGTTGTACTGTCTGTGTCTCACAAAGTCCTGAGAGTCCATGACATTTCGTCTCGACACCACAAAGGACCAGTCGTTCAGACCAAGCCTTGCACCGAAAGCACAAAGAGTCGCCTATAGCCTGACCAGTCGAGGCACTAACCTCTCTTCGCCTTTCTCTGAAAGCGAAGCAGCACCACCCAGTGTGCGCAGCTGCCGCTGTTCCTTCTCCACACGCGAGCGGCGCCGCTCCTGCCAAGTTCACGGGCGTCGGCGGATGAGGTGCAATGATGGCACCGGAGAACAGAATCACCGCTAGTAGTAACAGGTGCCACGCTAGTAGTAACAGGTGCCTTACTAGTAGTAACAATGTTTGCTATTAGAAACAAGTGCCTTACTAGTAGTAACAATGTTTGCTATTAATCACCAAAGAATGGTGTGTTAAGGCACCAACCTAATAGCGATGGCCTCCAAGATGAACAAAGCGACGAAACACCATACCCGAGGTGGAACCGTTGGGAACATGTTGGAACCCGTTGGAAAATGGTTGGAACATGCTGGAAAATGTTGGGACCCTGAATCTTATTCCTTCTTGCAGGAGTCAAACCAAAGAACCCAGCTGAAACCAAGCAAAGCCGCCCCAAAATGCTGCTCCTCCACGCGCTCCTCGCGCTTCTTATCTTCATCGTCCTCCTGGCCCCCATGGGGTTCTGGAACTCACATGTGCCCTTGTTGGGGAAGCCTACACTCCCTATGACTGGTCTTCCACGAGTGTGGGCTTCCGTTAGGCTTCCGTGGGCTGGGAGTTCAGCTTGGCTGCTTGGTGTGCCTTTTGATGTTTTTTTTGGTCGGCTGAGATGGTCATGAGCTGATGGGCGGCTTCTGACTCATGGACGGACTGATGGACTCGTTAATTACAATAGTCTTGTTGGAGTCAACCTTGTGGGCTTTATATTCTTAGGCAGAATGAATGGTTTGAAACATGGACATCATCACGCCCAAGATGGTGTCGAATAGAGTATAGATTTCAATGATTTACTGATTCTGGGAGATCCACAACCAAAAACACCTGCACTCTGATCCTGTGCCCTTCTAGATAGACTCAAGATGACTCAAGATCTAAATCGCTGCTGATTTGCCTTGGCTTGGAAGTGTGTCTCTTTAAGTTGTGCCCTGCAATAGTACAGTGAGATGAGTGCCATATGACCCATAACCTCAGTTGCCGATTCACCTATGAAACTGATCGTTCTCCGAAAAAATAAACAAACAAACACCGGAAGGCAAATTCAACCAACCGCCCCCCTACCGGCGAATTCGGGGCTTTCACTTCAGACTTCAAACGCCTTCTCTTGCTTCACCTCAGCTTCCGTGATCTCCTCGCGACGGCGCCGATGCTCAATTGTCCGACCAGACGCACCGACGCACCGACGCACCCCAGCCGAAAGCATTCTCGCACCGGGCTCGGATCACCGGCTTACTTCAACCGGAGTGCCTTAAGATCGGTTCCGGAGAACAAACAAACAACTGGGAACTTACATGAACTTACATGAGTGGCAGCAATTGATATGTACTGAACCATGCCACACATGAAACACTTGAAGGTTCTTTGGACATGACTTTTGGGTAAACAATCATGAACCGCAGTGAACACCACGGGTAGGACCCCTTTTCCAAAAGGACTGCGGTCGACTTGAGTCCAAATTGGTGCCGAGGACAGTGTTCATTCGTCACGCAAAAAAAAAAAAGAAAACGCCGGAGCCCTCCAGCTTCATGTGCCCCACGATGTGGGTCTCTTGAAGAATCCATTCCTGGCACAGGCGAGGCCCACATGGTTGTGGGCCCACATGGTGGGCCCAGTCAGATTGACAAGGTCACAAATACCTTATACATCTTCTGCATAATCCATTTGATGGGCCTCTGGACCTTTGCTTACAGGATCTTAGAGGCCTATACTCTTCCTTTCTCGTCCCCCGAACAACAGGTTTCCCTTACAAAGGCATGCCGTCATCCCTTCGACATCGACATCGCCTTCATGGACTCTTCCTGGGCGAAGCGCGAACTGGTCCGCTGGGGGGTGGATGCTGTGAATTCCAGACGGCCTGGGTTTGCGAATGTTCTAAAATACTAGGCACATGCTACAGTAGTATACATGCTTGTTTGAGACTCGACCTTCCAGTTTGAGGCTTCATATTTTTTCAACTAGTCTGGGTACTGTATATGCTCATGATCTGGAGCTTCATGATCAGGTCGGGCTCCAGGGCACATCGGGAAGGCTCTTCCCTCACCGTGTTCACTCCCCTGATCTTCTTGGAACGATCGGAAGGAGGAGTTGCACAGCAAACTACCAGCAGTTTCATCAGTAGAATGACCCAATTTATCACTGTGACACAGCACCAAATCATAACATTTTGTTGACATGAGTTCAGTGGGATCCTATGCTTTTTTTAGAGATCCTATGGGATCTCCTAAATCAACCGCTCGTGTTTTGTGCCCTTTTTTGACCCACTGCAGTGAAGACCAACCTCTTTGGCGTCGTCGCGAAGGCCAAGACTCAGTGATGGCTTGGCCCTGGTAGAAGCCCTCCGGCCTGGAAGCTCGTGCAGTGAGTCTGGGGAGCTAGTCTACACCGGTGTCAACCCTCAAAAAAACATGTGTCAAGACGATGGGCGTACCCCCCGTCAAAGACGGAACAGAAACATCACCCGCCCTGAGCAACACCAAGTACACCAGTACATCTATATAGACTAGAATCGATCCTATTATATATTTAGCCTATTTAGCCAGTCCTTTGTCGTTTACCATCCGGTATAGAATCGTTTCATTGCCGAAAACCCTTCAAGCAGAAAATAGAAAACCAGATCTTCCGTTCCTCCCTGGATCTTCCTTCGGAATGTTGATGGAATCACTGGCAGTGTTACAGTCATTGTAGTATCAGTATATATGGCAGTTATAGTTGTTATAGTGTGATTGAAGATTTCATGCTTCACGGTATCTAGACTCTGTGAGTGGGCGCTTCTATGGAGTTCCAAACCTGATGCTGGTAATTCTGCGCCTTTTGGTACGTATAGTAGGGACTGCTTCCACCTCTCACATCCTCCTTTGCTTCCGTTCCCTGACTCAGCCACCCGTCGTGTCCCGTCTGACACCGTCTCACCGGCGCCTGAGAGTGCAAAAGGCCACGCCGCGGGACTTCTTTGTCCGCTTATCTCGCAGGACATTGCAGCTGACGACGCGCCCAAAGTGCTGAAAGTACCTGACGAAGGCCGCCGCCCAACGCCGCGCGCAGCTCTTGTCTCACGCAGTCGGAAGTCGGTCCACTCAGCCGGGTTCCCGTGGTTTCGTGTTGGGTGGAACCCCGTGGCTGGTTTTTTGGAGGTTCAAAGGGAATCCGGGAAGGTGAGAAGCGGAGAATGATCGTTGTGTAAGTTGACCAAAACAAGACGGGGGGTCAACGTAGGCATATATTGCATACTACATGGAGTGTCTGGGGTATGTTTAACAACTCATCATTTAACAAGTTGGCGAAGCCAAAGGGCCTGAGATGGCCTGAGGGCCTGCAACTTGATGTCTATTAAGTTCCCAAGTCCTACGGCTGGGGATTCCCACATGCATCCCAGATCAATCCACGAAACACTCCGAATCCAGAGCTTCAGAAATCGTCCCAAGCGCATCCAAGCGCCAAAACCGCGGTTTCAGAGTAGATGGCACAGTCCCCAATGTCGGAGGTTTATATGAACCCCCATCAAGACATCCACCGTGACATCTATACATCCAACCATCCATTGTGACTCTTCGTTCGCGAAACCCTCACTCTTCATTGCAAACCGTGCAGGATGAAAACGACCGACCACCAGATGATCCCCTGTGTGGCTTGGCTGCTGGGTGATCTCCTCCTCGTCCAGGTTCCCTGTCTTCTTCAGGATGAAGCGAAGACCCTCCTGGTTCGTCTTGCAGCGTCCCATCAAGGAGGTCATCGTCTCATCAAGGACGTTGCATCCCGATGTGATGCACACCAGAACAGCATAGAACAGCCACCAGTGTCGATCTTTATCACTCTCAAGCCAATTGTACCGATGTGATCACCTTCACCTAAGTAGAAACGGACCAGCCTGCAGGTCTTTTCCGAACCATACTCGCATGTTCTCCCCACAGTGTTAGTTCGATTGTAAGAGATTGCAAGAATCGAACAATTCAGACTGGCCACCACGGCCTCCTATCCACAAAGCTTGAATGACCCTATAGACCATCCCATTATAGGTCCCCATGGTACCCCAGTAGGGTCCTATAAGGGCACCTCTCTTGGCCTGTCGGCACCCAAATGCCAGTCATCCGGCGTGAACCCCACGGCCTCCTCTTGTGGCTTCCCGCTGGGAAGCCGCTGCTCCTTCCGTCTCGGGCTCCTGTAGTTTCGCAAGCTGGAGATGAAGGAAACCTTGTGAGACTTATGAGGTTGACATATACCCAGACGCTCCATGTATGGAATATATGCCGATCAATGTAAGCATATATTCCATTCATGGAGTGTATGGGATATGATGCTGCACGCCATAAATTATGTTGACATATCATGTTGATGTTTGTGAGTTCCATGTTTGTATCCCAGGGCAACTGAGAGACCCATTCTGAACCCCCAAAAAAACATGTCAATTTGGGCGCCCGTCTCACCCGTCTCACCCTTGGCCGCGTCGCCTGCTGCGGCTCCGGTCCCTGGCATCCTCCCAGCAACGGCGCTTGAAGTGCGCCAGCAGCTGACGAAAGAGCAGCAGCTCGGGGTAGCGATCCTCAGCTGGGAACAGATCCCAACTGTTGTTTTGTTGTTTTTCCTTCCTGGCGCTTGGGCTTGGCGAAGTTCAAGAAAAAGGAGCTGAACATAGACCTTCATGCCCATTTTCGATCCCTTCCTCCTTTCTGCGCGCCAGGCACGAAGATTGGGCGCCAGGCACTCCGGAGAAAGCCGCGACTGCCCGGACGGAAGGCCTCCACCTGAGCACTGCGGCTCAGCAAGGTGAGGAAGTGCCTAGGCCGCCGGGCTCGGTGTGCGAGGAAGGGTCCGGGTCTGGGAGGGTACGGGGTACATGAGTTGAAGAGTGCTGGGTATTCTTGGCGGCTTCAACCAAACAGAATCCCGTGCACGATAAAAACCCCTTGTTTTTTCCATTGTCTTGATCCCCCTACCTGACGAGGTGCTTCCTTCATGTTACGCCGATCATCCTCGCAAGAAACAAACCCTTCCGGAGCCATAGCTATCCCCAGCTCGGAGGTCCGATGAAACACCTGAACGACACCCACAGTGTGGCATAACATCTTAGTCTTGACTTATATAGTGCACTATCATCCACTATCCCATAGACTCCATGTATGCCATATATGCCTACATTGGTGTGGTTTGCGGGGTCAATGTAGGCATCTATGGCAGTCCCATGGGTCGTGTCTGGGTATAGATATTTCACCGTGCGCAACATACTTGTTGTATCTTGTTGTGTTGTTCACGTGTTGTGTGGTCACCGGTCTTGCTCCTCGTTGCTCATCCCCGGATTTGGCACCCCTCGCTGGTGCTTCTCCCTCCGAGGAGCCCTTGCTTGGGGCGGTCCGCCGAGTCGAAGGCCTGGCGCAGCAGCGACGACCTGAGGGGCGGAAGGAGGGGGGCCCGAGGCCAGTCGCGGTGGAGCCCAGGCGGGACCCCCCAACAAGGAGACCAAAAGAGCTGCAAACCCATGGTGGAATGACACCATGGTGGGATGAAACCATGGTTAGATGTTTACAAGAAACCATGTCGGTGGATCACTTTTTGTGGCGGGTGTGCTGGCGTCGTTTGTTTTTGGCCTGCCAGCCTGGACCATTTTGGTGTCAAACCTTTTTGCAGTGGAAATCATGGTAATGAGGACCCCCAAAGGTACCGCTGAGGAAAACCAAACCAACCAACCTCAACAAACCTAACTTAATCTAACTTACCTAACCAACTTGGCCATCACTTGGAGGAGGTTTTCCTCATGATGAGGAGTGTTTCTCTGATTTGGGGCGCACATAGGTGGATTAATCTTCCTTGATCTTAAGTTGCTTGATTGAGAGATATCCAAACTAAACAAGAGATCCGTAAGATGGAGCTAATGGGTATGACATGATACAACCTACAATTGGTGTACCTTGCAGCTGAGGCTTCATGTTCTTGATCAACTGAGGTCGTGAAAATCTTTGAATATCCTAAGAGCGGCAAGGCGGGGATTGCCAACATGTGGTTTTGATTGGATTTCATTTACAATTCAATTGAGGATTCAAATCAATCAAACAAGCACTTGTTCACTCAGCACTTGTTGGCACTGGGCGCTTCAAATTCATATATTGGCTCCAACAAAAATGACAAAGCATGCCGCATCATATCGCATCAGTACCAAATATAGGCATGCGAGGAGCGAGTCGCAGGTTCCAGAAGAGACTGCATTTCCACCCAAACGAACGAATAGCTTTCAGTGGCTGGACATCCACCGCACACCCCTGAACTAGGGGACATCCTCCCAGAGACGTCATCGCCCCACGCCTTTCCGCACGTGTCAGGTCCACAAAAGGGACGAGGCGCCCGTAGAAATGAAGCAATGAGGTGGCCTCGCTTCCATCGAACCACTCCTCATTCGTCGCTGTCGAAGGGGTTGCACCCAATTCCGCCGAAGAAGGGCGTCGCAGCCGGACGCGGAGGTCGTTCGTCAAGACGGACATCCGATGAAAGGCATGTAAAGTAGGTGAGTGGCATGATATGTTCGCGTGTTCGTGAGCAAAGTTGGAGGAGCTGTTGGAGCTATGGATGCAATGTCAAAAAGAGAGAACTACGTGTGACTACGTACGTGACTACGTACGTATATATGTTTATTCCTCAATATGAAAACCACATCACAGCATTTCCCATACCATGTCCACCATGTTCAGGTTCTCATGGATACCATATTCACCTCCCCACCACAACACACCATCCTGGCCATCCTCCAAATCTGCTCAAGTACTCTTGGTTGCAGTGTGTGATTCAATAGGTTTGTGCAGTTTGTGATTCTCTCTTGATAGACTCCCAACATTCTGATAAATCAGCAAGCTAGAGAGCATGAGCTTGGACTAAACTAGGAAGACCTTTCAACCGCTGGGTTTGGGTATGTTTGGGTTGATTCTTCATCCAAAAGGTCGGCAGCCTGGAGGGTGCCTCGACACCAATCCATCGGAACCCAGCCACTCTCAGGACCATGTGTGGTACCACCCCTTGCCACGCCGGCAAGTATGGCGCCCGGGTCACGACCTTGGGCACGACAACAGCGGGTCCATGGCACCAGGGGATCCTGGGACCCCCCAGCGATGAACAGAAGAAACTACCAGGGAGGTCAACCTACCAGGGTTTGGGGCTTGGGGCTCAACTTATACTCAATAGGTCTCAGACGCAACTTCAGATGAAGAGGGCTCCCAACTGATCAAGTCACGGGTCGGATTTGAGTGGATCCATTTCCTTCCACAAGAAAGAGGGAAGAAAGAGACCGTGATGTTCTCAATGCTGGTGTGTGGGATGCTTGGAGCAAAAATTGTTTCGACTACAACTGACAGGGATCCATCTAGAAAATACATGAACATACATGGAGTAAATGTCAGCGGCAACCCTGGGGCCACCTCCCACTCGAACCAACCCCGATCAGCCCTATATGATATGCTCCAAACCTTTCCGCTGTGTTTAGTTTATCTCGTTTGTTTTCATGGCTTGACTCCGGCAAAACAACTATTGTACTTCCTTAATCAATGGACCTGTCAACACGTCGGGTGACCTTGAAAAGGGAGGCCCCATCAATGATGCTGCTACAAAACCGGATGATTCACCAATCAGCAATCCTGCCCCCCTTTCTTGTCAGTCCCTGTCTTGTCAGGTCTTTGGGACTAATCTCCATGGAAGCTTTGGCAACGAAGCTCAGTGTTGTGTTTCCTTTTTGCCGCCCTCAAAGGCAACGGTGCGGATCATGTTTCCCAAACTTCATCCAGTTCAGATCGACTCTTGAAAGAACAATAAACGAACACCATCATGTAACACCTCACATTGTGGAAGATCTTTTGAGGAGTGTCCAATATGAATTCAAAGATCTTTGACCAACGGTTCAGACCTTTTTTCATCAACAGTTGTATAACCCTATATATATGACAATAAACCATCATCTCATTGGTTAGCTGTTCAAACAGTCTCGCATGTGTTGTCTACGTGTCTCATGTTCCAACCGGTCCGATGACTCCCAAGTGACGTTACCGCGGAGCATTGGAGGACAACTCCCTGGAGGCACATCGGCACAGCGGCCGGCTACGAGGAAAAGAGGCGGTCGGAGATCTAAGGAGGCAAAAGAGCACATCTGATGGCGAGAGGAAACGGACAAAAAACACATCCTTATGCTAATGATTGCGAAAGATGCCTCAAAATGTGGGGTTGGAGGCGGCTAAGTCCTGGAGGAAATTGGTCGAACTGAGGAAAAACGTGCACCTGCATCTCCAACGAGGCTGGTGGGCTCATACGATCCTGCATCTTTGCCACATCACCCAAAACCACTGCTTACACTGGTACCCCAAACCATGCTTACAGAGTGTGGCCATGCTTACAGTGGTACCCGTGGTACCCCAATGTACCCCGCTCGCCCGCTCACGAGTCGGCGCGTCACCCACCTTCGCACATGAAGCCGCAAATGGCCATCAGCAGTCGGGCGGCTTCGGAAAAGGCCGCCGCCCAGAGGTCCTCCATGGCTTTTGGGCCACTTGCTGAAACAGGACAACTTGGAGCCACTTGCTGAAACCAAACGATCATCACGACGACACTGAAACCAAACACAGATCAAGCAAACGATTCAAGCAAACGATTCAAGCAGACGATTCAAGCAGACGCTACGCGATTATATATCGATTCTCCTAGGTCTTCCTCCCGGTGAAGATGCAGAAGCCCGAAGCATGAGATCATGAAACTCGCGCCCAGCGAAGGAAAGACACAGATCAGCGTAAGGATCTGGATCCATGTGAGCATGACATCCGTGGCCGTGGCACCCCTCCCCACCTCACCCCCACCCCCTTGTGGTTCCCCGTCTCCTCGCGCATCTGCTCAGTAAGCTCACAGCCCATGAGCATGGTGACCCTGTGGCCGGTGGCTTCGTTCGGTTCTTCGGAATAGGTGTTTTGGATTGAAGGCGTTCGATTGACGCTGGTCCAATCGGATCCATTGGACTCTAATCTGTCATGGCAGTCATCCAAAGAGTTTGTGGGTTGGCTGGTTGGTTCTAATTCATTATATACAGTAATCAGAACCCCCCTCCATTCCAAAATTTGGTCAAATGATCAAATGGTCTTGATAAACTGTCAGATCGATCTAGAGGTACCCTGACCAAGTAAACTGCAAGGTGGGTAGCCCGTTGCAGAAGCCGCCCAGAAGCCGCCCAGCTTCTGATCCGTTTGGACACGGGGCATGTCCCAGCAGCAGGTTCTGCCAACTTTGGGAAGGAGGTTCAGCCGTGGATCTTTCAGTCATGAATAGTCTTGATGAGTCCAGTCCACGGACCTCTTGGGAGGCAGTCATGTTCCGTCCGTGGTCCATTTTCGGAGAGTCCATAGTCTATCGGTATCGTCTATCAATCTCCTGGCATGTATTCCAACTACTGCCGCTTTAAAGATGCTTACCAAACAATCATTCTCTGAATTGTTGGGGATTGGGTCAATAGTCCTTGACGCCTACAGTACCACGGCAATACAGGATGATTGTCAGGCGACAACCGAATTGCATGCCCAAACCAGGAGAAAAGAACCAACAGAAACAACTTCTGTCAGGGTGGATTCAGAGCCAAAGTTCCCACAAAAGTCAGCCCAAAAACACGGCAAACAATTTGTGCCTTCTGAATTCATAAGGAATACAAACACACACACACACACACACCTTTAAAGAAACCGCTTTGTAGCTTCGTGATTGTGGCGCCAGCACACCAGGTTCTCTACACCAAATTCCGTGGCGCCTTTGTAAGAAGGAGAGCGCCTCCTTCTCCTGGCCACGCGACGCCACACGATGCCACGCGCAGTGCCGTTGTGCATCGCTGCGCACCGCTGGATGGGACTCCCCGTCTTCGCCTGTACTTTGCATCAGTATGCCCTCCCCTCCCCAGATGTTGATGAATCCCCTAGCCTTGCCCCCTTGCCTCCCTTCCTAGGGGGGTAGGCTAGGTGAAGGGAAGCCCTATCATGGGACTTCTATGTGCCTAGCCTTCAAAAACCAGACCAAAAACAGTTTGATCTGGTGTTGTAGTTTTGAAATCCGTATCAAAACACGGGTTGTTCTGGTCAACATGATTATAATCAATGGCAGTAGGAATCCTACCTTAAAATGTGTTCCGTCCGCGCACTCACGTGTCTGTCCTGTGGGATCCCCCCGCGAACGGTGCCATTCACTGACAGTGCCTTAAGAGCTCTGGCCTCCAACCTAAGAGCGATGGCCTCCAACCTGATCCCCCTGTCTTCTCTGGAAGCTTTCAACACCACCTCGCCCCGGGCCTCCTCCAAGGCTGGCTGAGCCGGAGGAGCCTGAGCTTGCTCACCTGCGCTAAATAAACTGGCCTTCTGCCGTTGGGTACTCAACCACTCAAGATGGGGTCAAACCCGCTGGCGGAGCTTCCAAGTGGCTGAATTGATTTGGAGGTCATGAACTGACGATTCTGGCACTATGCACCCATTTAAACATATTTAAACACTCTAACGAAACACATAAATAGCGGGATTCGGACCATCAAAAGCACATCGTTTCAACATGCCCCAAGGAGGTCTCTTCATTTGGACTTCAGGAGCCCCACATGGTGAATTGGAGGCATGTCCGCGGTCATGCTAGGTGGTTTTTGCTCTGACCTTAACCATCCTCGACCCCAGTTTGGTCAAAGAAAGGGCAAAATGCTCTTCCAGCGGTTCGTCTGCCACCTCTACTTGGTTTGCATTTGGGAGTTATGAATAGGTTATGTTATGAACTTCTATATGAACTTCATCCAAAAAAACACACCAAAAGGCATGAGCATTCCTGGCAGGCTCGTGCAAGCCCCATACTTGATGCTTGTCAAGCCCCACATCCGTTCGGGTGTTCCGTTGTTCGCCGAAAACACGGCGCAACACATCGATCGTTGGGTTGGACGGTTTGACGGTTTGACCCTCGGCCACTGAGACTCCGGTTGGTTCACCAGTCGGTTCGGTCTGGGCCGAAGCCACTCCTGACTCCTGGCGGTTTCATCCCGTCCGAGATCCGAATCCATCCTTCGATCTTCGGCCGATGTGCTGGCTTCACTCGTCCAGAAACCGGAACGCCCACCGTCCCACTGTCACTCACCCGAGGTCGACGTACCTGGAGGTCGCACCATCCCTGGGCGATTTGGGTCGCATCCGGTGTCGGTGGCCAGAGAACCCTCTCTATAGGGGCTCGCTGAAAAGGATCAGATCTTAGCACATCCTGGCACGCCTCTCTTTTTTTGGTATGTGGTTGTGGGAGTTTATATAGTCTTCTGCCCAAGAGATGAGTACCAATTCTTCAATTCACCAATCTCGTTGTGATACCTGGAGCAGTTGGACCAAAGATGCAATCAGTCACGCCAGAATCACACATCAAGTAGCATCAAAAATCATCAACATATTAAGCCATTCATCCCCCCAAACGCTACCAGTAGGAAATCGTTTCTTCAGCGGGCATCATGAGCCCAGTGGAAGCAATTGCAAGTAGTTTAGTCAAATTGTCAAAAGGGTTCGAGTCTTGAACTGAGTTTTCGTTTTCCCAGTTCTCACAACATAAGTTCCCAACTCCAAACACAAAGACCTGAGACCTCTGTGAAGGCCAAAAACATCAGGGCGCCTTTCAGGAAATCGTGGATTCCAACCTTTTCAAGTATCCCAAGCCTTGTTTTGGAGGCCTTGTTTTTGGCAACATCGTCACATGGTGCCTCTCTTTCTTCTCGTTCGGTGCGTCTCCGTGTGGCACCTACTAACCGCTAACCGCAGCCGTTTGACGGCGCCTCGCTTCTTCGGCGCGGGAAACCAGGCGACGTCCCCCAGCAGCACGAAGGGGTCGGACCTGGGAGACCGAGGACGAGACGAGACGCATCGGCCGGAGAGTCAGGGGTCAGCATCCGGTTCTGGGATGCGGTGTTCTCTTGGTTTGGCAGGATGGGATGAGGTGCTCTCACCGTGTGATTTGACATCAAGAACGAAGGACGGTGCTTTTCGTGACAAGCTCAGGTGACTGTCGCATGGCACCGGGAAACAATCACTTTCATGGACGAGCAACGGTGTCTCGGTGTCTCTCTTTTTCGGGGAAGGTTTTTGGGGTGACTCAGGGTGACTCAAATGTTCACAGATATGTCTCAGTCCAATTTAACACAGACATATCTGTCATTAGGCTATCTAGAAGGTGAAAACGACCATGGTGGATGCTTGACCTGGTCGAGTTTCTTCTCACATCCCATGTCAAACATTCGCACGCCGCTCCGGTGGGTTTCCATGTCTCTCTCTCTTCGGCCCCCTGGCTTCCAGCTTGGAGCCGCGGAGTTTCCAGAGCTTGGTGCGGAAGTTCCAGGTGAAGCCTCCCAAAGACTGAGATGCTTCGGCACTCTTGTAGCCCCCCGGACTACAAAGTCATGAGTCTTAGACTTGGCGGATTTTATAACAATAAATGTCTCAATTAATATCACCCGGTGTTTTGGGCTTGGGCAAAAATCCTGTACGCCACCCCCAATGTCTCTGTAGAGGGATGGAAACAAAATCACTGGGCGCCCACCCTGGGCCCCTGCCATAAGACTAGGCCAAAACCACGCCAGAAACCAAAAACATGCATCTCTTTCCTGGCACCCAGCAAGTTCGCTCCAAGCAGGAGTTCGATTGGCTTTTTCAGCCTTCTCTTCAGATCGAGTACTGGACCCTCATCGGCGCCTGCGGCTTCGGTGGCTTGGGCACCACCGGAGGACCCGCCGCGACCGACGCACCGGCAGTGGCCGGAGCTGCGGTGGCAGGGGGCACGCGCGGCGGGATGGTGCTGGGGCCTGGCAGGAATTTGGAGTCCAAGCGATGACCACGGGATTTGGTCTCGAAATCTGTTTCGAGGAGAACCAAACTGCCTGGCATCAAACCTGTGTGCCATAGCAAGGTTGCAAGATTGAAGAATAGAACGGCGTCCAAACTGAAAGTTCATCCCAATGGCTGCAAATAATGGCTGAGTTCAAATCAGATCTGGATTCTGGAGGTGTATCTCTTAAGTGGGCCAATCTCATCACCGTCACCTTCACCCTGCCTGCCGTGTCCATAAAGGCAGGTGACTGGGCAGGTGACACCACGTGAGGCGACTGTGCCGGTGACACCACGTGCGGCGCGGCCGGCACAGCCGCGTGAGGCGACTGCAGCGGAGGCACCACATGAGGACTTTGCATGGCTGGCACCACTTGTGGCTGATGTCCTGTTGATACGGATGAGAAATGATGAGAGGTCAAACTCTTGTTCTGGAAGGGTGGGGTGGCTGACTCAATGGCTCAAACAGGGGTGGTATGAACTAAGGATTACATGATCAATGGTTGCTTCTCTTGCTTTCAGTTGGGACCGTTGTCCTTGTGGTGTTCTCACTTAAGTAAAACGAGTACATCCCATTTACGACATATTGTTGTAGTTGTAGTGAATATCTCAAAGCTGACCTCTGGTCAAAAAAGCCAGGTGGAAACTCTTTTCCTATGCATCTTTGGTTGCAAAGCAAGATTCGACCGGAAAGCTGAAACCGCTTGTTTGGATGCACACTCTTGTAAATGTTGTAAAGACTTTTTGGAGAGGATTGCAAACGGGTGAAAAACAAACTGTTTGATCATCTGCAAGAGGAAGGAATCACACTCTTGTGGAAGTCCGTATTTCATTCGGTGGGGTTGCTGGGATCCAAATCCAGCTTGAGTGAGGAACTACGAAACATGGAGCACTGCATGCGACTCCTAGAATCATCACTGTTCTCCCAGTGCAAAAGGAGGGCACCGAAGTCATCTCTCCTAGGTAAATACACAAGACACAAACTGAAACATGGACTGCTGTTCTGGCGCTGTCTGCATGTGTTTCCTGTGTGTGTGATGTTGTGCTGCCTGACTAGCCAACATGCACCTGAACCAAGTCTCTCTCCCAACAAGAGCAAGACATTCAAGAAAGCAACACATCATAAGCCCACGCAAAGATATTCCCCAACAATGCCTACGCGAGCCTACGCCCCCAAGCGAATTTGCTTACGCAAGCAATCCACAGGTCAACCTCCATACAAATCTGTTCATGTACAATCAAACTCAGAACAGCGATAAACTCACCGGCTCACACTCAAGCAAACACATCTATTGAACTAAAGAAAAAATGGAACTCAGTCTCAACAAAAACATTGGACCATGGGCGCTTGCTTAAAAGCAAGCTTCAGTGAAAGCTTCTGCGAAGGCTTCAGGAAGGACTGGACAAATCCCCCACGACCGGACTCTTCAGTTGGCCCATGGTCCTTGTCTCACCGCCGGCACCACCACCGGCGCCGCGCTCAGCGCCGTGGGTCCACCTGCCACGGGGCCGCAGTACCGGTATCGACCGGCCAAGCAGAACACAAGGCCACCGATGGCTGAGAGGACAATGGCACCGATGTCAGCCCACCCAGTCCCCATGGTTTCGGTTCACAAACATAGAGGAATCTGTTCATTTGACCCGGGGTCTGGCCCTGGGTGCCCGAGTTTTGACCCACTGCCACATGCAATTCTGACGGTTGGAGTGATGGGAGACAAGTGAACCCTGTGGGTGAAGTGATGTGACATGCCTCACTGCGGGCTCACACAGACTGGATCCTCAGGACTGGCTGCGACGAACGGGTGCGACGAACGGGCCCCATCCAGCTCCGGCGGTGAAACACAGGGCCTGCTTTGGGAGGTACCTGGACGCAGAAGGAGAGAGCGCGAGAGAGAGAGAGAGAGAGAAAGAACAGTCAGTAGAGCACCTGTCTCTTGAATACATTTGAATACTATATACTTTATAGTAGGTATATAATTAATCCATGGTTGAGACAGGTTACATGCAGGTGAACCAAGCAGGTAGTGCCTGCAGAAGTATTGCTGGTTGAGGGTGACAGCCAAAAGTACATTGAGAAAAACAAACAAAACAGAACAGTCAGTGAGTCGAGTAGTTTCTAAACGTCTCCTGCTGAAAGTCCCCTTTCAACATGTCTTGGGCACAATACCTATATGATCCTATATGTATATAGATATGGTCGGAACAAGGCAGGTTCCAAAGCTGTGGGTCTGACAAGACTACTTGCTTGTTGCACGCAGCCATTCCCATCAAAAAAATCTGATGGGAACTATAAATCATACATAAAAATCATATCACATTGTTTACTTGCGTTTCCTTGTCTGAGGTCATCTATTTTTTTTGGATGGGTTTTGGTCTATGTCAATGTCCATTTTTCCACAGTTCTTTAAGAGGTCTCCCTATTTCCCAAACACTCCATGGGACTGCCATAAAATTGCATCCATGAAGGGGTGGTTTGAACAGTTTCTGCAAGGGGCGGCATAGTCCTTCCAGTCCAATGGAAGGCTATGGGTTTTTCATGCCCCCTGCCACCAGATGAGACCTCGCCCGATCTCTCGATCTCTCAGGTCTCACTGGAGCCGCGGATCTCGCATCACCATTCAGCCGCTGCAGCACCTCAAAACACTCCACTCAACCGGGGATGGTCTGAGGATTGGGTGGATGGGCACCTGTCACTGAGTGTCACTGGGTGCGAAAAGGGGCTTGGAAGAATTCACCCAAACGAAGAACGCTGTTCGTTGTGCATTTGGAGACACACACTGCGTGAAATGGCATGGCATGGCCCCGAAAGGATAGCCATTTTCCACAAACAGGTATATAGTCAGTCATTGAGATCTAGAACGCAAACACATGGGATTTGATGTCCCAATCGCACATGCCGGAATGGGGCACCAGTTGTTTCCGTAGCGTATGTCACGGTGTCTCATGAACCCAAAGGTCATGGTTAACGTCTGTGCGCGCGTGTGTCTGAGAACTTCTGATTGACTTGCTGTGGCTAGCTGTCTTCATCTCCAAATTAACAAACAACAACAACTCCTGGACAAAATCGAAAAGGGTTGGTCCTGCCACTGGGCAGTTCTGAGTGTTCAATGCAGCGTACTTCTGGAAAATCCGCCCGCACCGCTTGTCGGTGCAGGGCGTGCTATTGGGGCTCTTAAGCTCTGCTGCTATGCAAAAGGCCCTTTTTGTTCGCATCGTTGGGCTGCAGGGCCACTGGGGAGAGCGCTTTGGAGGTACATTTTTGGATGATTTTTCGTTACGTCGTGCTTGCAGGGCCACTGGGGAGAGCGTTTTGGAGGAGTTTTGTGTTTTGGGGTGGTTGCTGCGTTGATTCTTGCTCGACCTGCAGGGCCACTAAGGAGAGCGTTTTGGAGGTGTATTTTTGGATGGCTTTTGGCAATGCCGAAGTTGTATCACCACTATGGGCTCCAAGGTGGATGAAATTGGCCCTAAGATGGCTCCAACGCAGCCGTAAGACAGCCAACCTGGCGCCTAGATGGCTACTTCCATTTCACTAACTTCGGCTGTTCGTGCGCGGTGTGGGCGGCTGTCGACGCGAAGCGTCTTGAATATCCAACCCTGTCAAACCATTTGGGCCCTCATTCACCATGCAGCGAACGACCTTCCAGGTAGGTCAACCAAGATATCAACAGATTTGCCAATGCATGATACTTCCAAGGCAAATCTACACTCTACACAAAATGAAGTGCAGTATGGCCCGAATTTGTTCGCCTCAGCCTTCAGCAAGGCCAAGAGCTTTCGCTGCTCTAGCGGCGTGGCATCCGGCGGGAGCTGCTGCGCTGCCAGCGCCTGGAGCTTCGGAACAAATCAAACCATCCCACCGGTCCCAGGTTTAGTTCCCAGTTCGTTTCATGGCGAAAAATAAATTCACAAACATCCGAGGTGATTGAGACTGCTTTGGAGACTGGGGGTGAGAAGGTTGGGTTCCAACACCCCAAAGAAAAAGGCAATGAACTCAAAAGTGTCTACGATTGCAGCAAAAACAAAACAAAGAGTCCGAATCCCTTTTCAATAACGTATGCAGGTTCTTACCAGTCGGCACAACACACAGTCAGCACTAGGAGTACAGTCAGCATCATCAATCCCGAACCGAGCCCTTCTGGTCTCTCCCCTGGATGATTCCAATCACCAAGTGCCAGATTGGCCAAGCTCCTGTAGATTAGACATAGACAAAATGTCAGGAATTCCAAGCCCTTGTGAGTGGGACCCCTACATGTAACTCTTTTAGAACTAGAACTTGGAACAAAGGGCTTCGCTACGAACGGAGCAAGAAGCTACTGCAGCTACTATAGGGGCGCTCCTGGCAGCATTACGAACAAGAGGACGCTACGAAGGGTCCGTCCCGACGAGCTCAGGGCCACCGGCCTCAGCCTCCATATCCAGCTCTTCAGGCGTCAACATGGCACAGTCGAACCCGCCCGGTCCATTGGGACCAAGTGGACCAACAGACCGGTGGATGGGATGGTGATGGGTGTGGGGAGCTGTGTCACTGTGGGGGGCCATGCGAGCATCATGTGTGTGCATATGCGTGCCATAGATGCCATAGAGATCTAAAGAGCGTAAGTATAACTACTATATGTATAACTAACCCTTGCCTCATGTATTTGCGTGCAAGTTGGAGCCAACTAGCCTGAAACACCAGCTGGGTGCATCTGGGTGCGCCGCACAACCCTCATGATCGGGGCTCCTCGACTTGCCTTTCGACCCGCTGGCTAGATCTTTTGCGGAGGCGAAACTGGGCCAAGCTAGCAGCAATCGATCTGTTTTGAGCGAGCCCAGCGGCTGCGCACGCTTGGCTCGATGTCCGGCAGGTCAAGCCGTTCAGCTTGTGTTCCCCGCTTCTTCCCCCCAAAGGCTGACCGCTTCACGGAGGCTTCACGAAAAAACAATAGAAAGGGAGCAGAGATGTAATGGAATGCAATGGATATGTTCGTTCGGAATGTGCTGAGCCATTCAACGTACCACACAAACAATGTTCAAGCTTTAAATATCATAAAATCTCAAGCACACCTTGAAAACACCCGTACTTCAGAGCCGTATAGTACCGGGCTTTTCAGTCAGACTGCTGGTTCTGCATCCTACTTATAGCGCCCCACGCTAGAAACCGCTCCATGTGGGCACTTCCGGTCCAGCACCTCAGGCGACATGTGAGTCCTCAGTGGCCGGAAACCAACGCGTTAAACCGAGGATCCCCCAGGATGTCTCAGGTGTTTTGGCTTTAAACTGAGCTCTATATCTCTATAGCTCTCTTTGGGGCTTTAAGTAGTCACAGCAAAGAACCCTCCCAGGTCCTCCAGAAGAAAAACAGCGAGCCTCGGTTTTGATGTGCTTTTTTCTTCCCGGTATGGAGCGACCCTTTGTCCGCTGTACTGAACACCAAGCGTATAGGCATTGGGCTGAGCCCCAGCGGCAGATCGCGGCAATCCAAACTCCTTCCTCCCGCAATGAAGGGTGACAAATCGAGTTGTCAGTGCTTTTTAACATTTGTTTGTTGTACAAACAAATGGTCAGTGCATTGGGGCTCCATGCCTAGGCAACAGTAACACTACATATCACTAGAATACACTAAGATCATACCTGGGTTTGACTCAACTTCGGCCCCAAAGCTGTGGATTTGAGTCCTTTGTTAAGTCCTTGATACTCTGCACAAGACTCCTGAGGGCATCCGCATTTTTTTTGTGGAATTCCGGAATCTGACCTCTCGGGGTGGTGATCAGAGAATTTCTGCACAATCCGCTAAGAACGCAGTGTGCAGTGTTGATGCATATTCGGCATATTGACCTGTAAAATGAGCTGCATGTATTTTCGCAACAACAACAACGACGACGACAACAACACCAGCAGCAGCAGCAGCAGAAAACATAAGCTTCCAAAACTCGTTCAAGGACACGTTCTTGTGTTTGAAGTCACAAGTTAGCAATTGCAGAGTCACACAGGCTTTCTCGGCTTTCTCTCCCGAGAGTGGAAAAATAAGTGGAATGGTTCACCGATTCACAATGAGGAAACGTCTCAAACTCGCCATATAAGCCATACCCAGACACTCCATGTATGCCATATATGGCATACATGGCATACATGGAGTGTATGGTATATATATATATATATATGATCAGTGGACTTTGAAACGATCTCTCGCAGCACCACGAAACTGTCGCAAGCTTTTCCGATCTGTATGCCGAGCCATGCCTCTCCCAAACCAAGGATCAGCGTCCCAACCTTCTCCGTGAGCACTTGCTTCGGCCTGGGTTTCAGAAAGCAGCTGTGACACCCCTTGTGTCCTCCAACTTCCTCCCCTGTGTGCCGCGAAACAAAAAGAACAACACTGAAAACAACCGCCCGAAAATGGCCATCATGGGGGGCTCCTTCCACCGGGTCACCCCAGCGGGTCCACTCACCTTTCGCATCTTCAAACAAACAAGAACATCAGAACAAGCCAATTGGACACAAAATCGACTCACATCCACTTGAGCCCCAATTAGTAAGGCGCCTGAAGGGACAGGAGAGCCCAAAATCGGAGACCTTCAGAAGCCTCGGCGGTTGGGACTTGGTCGGCCGTTTCGACACGGAGACTAGACGCCAAAAAGGAGGGGCGACGTCCAGCAACGGTCGGATGGGGAGGATGGGGAGAACACCCATCAGCCTACCATAGGTTCAAGCAAGATCACTCTTGAGGATGTCTTCTGGGTTTTGGGTGCAGCTTTGGGGGGTTCAATGCATCAAAAATGTGCTTGTGCTTGTCTTTCAGTATGGCCGCCATGCAAATCGACGTCCTTGGAACATCATCCTCCTAACCACCCACCTACGCGTTGCCAGGCGCTTCGGACTTAGGGGTCCAAGTGACCTGGGACGACGGTGACCTGGGACGACCTCACTAAAGGTATAGTAGTGTGACCGACCTACCAATCTTTACGATATAATACGATATACAGAGAACCCCCAAACAGATAGAAAAGTAGATCCCCACTGAACATGTGGAAACCGTTTCTATGAATTTGATTTCACTTTGGGGATCCCTATGCATAGTTTAACTTAAAGGACCAAACATACACATACACATACTGGAAGAAAAAAGGCAAAAGGTGGCGTCGGCCTCGCGTCGTGTCACTCGCGGCGCGACGACACGTCGACGACACGTCGAGCCCCCGAGCGTCTTGTCCAGGACTTCACCGGTCGAGACCAAGACATTTTCGGCCTCGACGGGTCGACCGTCCGACTCGGCTCGCGACGTGGTTTGAGGGTCGTGAGGTTGATATGATTTGAACATCGGTCGAAGTGGTTGGAAACTTCAGTAGATTTGTTTCTAGATTTGTATGAATTGACATGCCCTTTTGATATTTCTTTAAGTGGGATGAAGGACTTTGACAACCGTGTCCTTACCTAGGGGATCGATACGGGTACTTGTAGTGATCAGAATGTGTTATATATAGCTTCGGGCTATGAGTGGAGCAAACTGACAAGTCTCATCACCTTCAAACATTCTCTTCTACCAGATTCTACTGGCACCCATTTGATGATACTTTATGGCACCTCATGGCACCCCCAAACACGGCCAACCGCGCCCTCCCAATTCGCAACCCACTGTCCGACCTTGAGATCCCTGTGGCAGATCCAATTCCTGGGGCAACGATTTGCGCGTCCCAGTCGTGTCCTCTTTGAATGTCCACCGAGGGTCACCAACGTCTCCGAAGGTCACCAATGCTTTTGGCCGCTCAAACAGGTCCAAATGTCGAACAAAAGGTGACATAAAGTGACACGATTCATTCATAGTATCCCAGACACGACCCATGGGACTGCCATATATGCCTACATTGACCCCCAAAACCACCCCAATGTTGGCATACATGGAGTGTCTGGGTATTATATACTTGCAACATGTTTTGGTGGGTGTTCCCTCTTCTGCCCCGCTCGAATCAAGGTGCCTAATCTGCTCCCATTGGCATGCCAGTGAGAATGTGGGCTCCAAGCTGCGTTTGCATCTTTTCTATCTTCTCCAACCATCGACGTGATTCTCTCCAACCAATTCACCAACCAATTCACCAACATGCCATGAAACCAACACCAACCGACGAATCAGCGGTCTGGCCCCGACCGGAACTCACCCAGCCGATCGCTTGGAGCTTCCCGCCGCGTGGGGCGAGCGAGCGCGCGAGCGAGCGAAGGGTGCCTGTGGAGGTAAAAGACAGCGCGAAGGATCTGCCGCATGGCCATGGCCGTGTGCTCCTGGCGGTCTCCGTGGAGACAAGGGGGGCGGTGCTTCGCTGGTCAAGCTGGGATTCGGGAACGTGTTCCAACTGCGAGCTGCTGAGAGAGGAGCTCTTTGCCGGAAGAAGCTGTCAAGTCCGTTCCAAACACAAATCCTTCATCTTCATGAGGATGCAGTTCGACAAAAATGAAGGCAACATCCGTGAAACTGCTGAATTCTTCCAATCAATGTTCCAGGAGGGAAACATCCTCCTGCCCCCATGTTCAAGTGGTCAGTGTGTCCTTTTTCCTGCCAAAAGCACCCTTGCAAGCGGAATTCTCTGATCTAAAGCCCTTTTGACTTTCACACTGCGTGAGCCACCTGAGATCGGTGACCAAAAAGCCACCTGCACCACCTGCCCCACCTGGGACCTGCCGGTTCCCCGCCGGTTCCCGAGCGGGTCACCCCCGGTCCCGTCCTCGCTAAAGTGCCCCGAGAACTTCAAACGGCTCAGCAAAGAACCTGTGCCCCCAACCGGGCGGTTTTGGACCAAACATTGGGCAGTTCCATGCGCGAAATCGGACCTCACCATATGAAACCTGCAGAAATCCTCCCTTTGAGCTATATAATCACTCCTTAGGAGCCTCATTCCCTTGCGCCCGGCGAACCAGTGACGAGTGATGAGTAAAAAGCTTCATGGCATCTGAGTTCGAGTATGATAGACTGGCAGTTGGGCTGGGTGCACCACCTCTGCACAAAGGACTGCAATTCAAAAAACTTCAATTCCATCTTCGTGATCATCTCGTTCTTCAAACAAATCCTCTTCATTCCTCTTCCAACTGCAGCGTTTTGGTCTCAAATGTCCAAAGATCCAAGACCATCGACTTGTAGCATTCATTCTCAGCCCCCGCAAAAAAAAATGCACAGGAAGCTCCGGCGCGTTACACCATTCACGCCGCCTCCGGAACACAGCTCCATCACCAGGCAAAGGTACCTGCGCGAAAGCTGGTGGCATACGACATGAAATTCACATGACCCAAAGGCCTCACCAACAATGACCAGTCAGGACCCAGTGTCAAAGAAAAAGCGCTAAGAGCGGCTGTTTAAGGGTCCATCGATGTTCCGAACGTTCTTTGACTTCTTCGCCCAGTCTCAGCTACCAGTGGATGAAGTTCGAACGACTCAGTTCGGATGAGGTGCTGTCGGGATGGCGTGGAAGGCAAGGTAGGTGGACAAAAACAGAGAACAGCTGGATGACATGAGAACAGCTGGTTCCGTCCTTGGCCTGTCACATCATCAATCATAATCAACACACATCTCAACACTAATATAGTACACATGGCGGTTGAACATTTGAGCAGTGCTGCAATGCCCCTTGTCTTCCCTATAGTCTACCTACTGCAGCTATTTCTGGTCAAAGAGCCATGATCGTCACCAACAGCAACCCATTACTTCCCCATCATTGCCATCCTTCCCTTTTTCATCCTTCATTCATGATTGTTGTCCATCATTCATCGATATTTCATCGCTCTATATCTTCATCGCTCTGCATCATCGTCCACTCTATCGCACGCGGCGCCGAAGCGCGGCTGAAGCGACCCATCCGGTCGCCGAGGATCGGTGGTCTTGAATCGTGGTGCGCACTGCTGATCCTCAAAGATCTCATAGAGCATGATGATGTTGGGATGATCCACCATCTGGGACGGGTCAAGATGGTCATTCTTTTTCACAGACCCGACTAGTAAAAAAACACGAGTTAACTGAGCGGAGTTTGTCTGGTCTACGACCCACTTCACTGGGTCAGTGGAGTGAAGAATCTGAATGAAGCCAAGCCATAGTGTTGTGTTCATTGGCACGGCAACCATCACCATTTGACCCACCACCATCCTGAAAACAGTCACAGTTTGGTGCGTTCTATCCTTGCAGCATGGTGCTGAGAGCCCCAACTGTTCCGCATTCCAATTTGTGGTCAAAGGCTGGTGAACCCCCGAAGACTCCAACATCTTGGACTTTCACTGTTCAGCTGATCAGCTGATAAGCTTGGGACACTCACGACTGCAACCTACACGACTGCGAACTGGGGTCCTGAAACCCAATGAACTTCTCTTTTCGAACAACCGGGGCCTGTTGGAGGGCATTGGCCGAAACATCTGCATGAATGGCGGTTCAAGACGACCGAAGGTCGTCTGGGTGGTTCAACGACGTGGCCCCGTATGCAGTGGCCCCTACCACTACCACACATGAGTACACATGATGATCATGATGAAAAATCACGTGCGGAACCAGTCCAAGCCATGGTTTTTGCAAACCATGAGATATATATATATATATGACGTATTTTTCTGGTGAGGGCAATTTTCAGGCGAAGCTCAAAAAAAACACACAACAAACAGTTTTGGTGTCGATATTTTTTACTTTTGCGTTGTTTTTTGTCTCTTCTGCGTCATTTTGGCGTCATGTTTTCTATCGCGAATTTGCTGCATGTTTCTGCGTCATGTTTTCTGGCGAGACGGGAAAAAAGACATCGTTTCAGGGTCCAGTGGTCCAGGTATATACAGTAATGGGTTCACAAATTAAAGAAAGGAACACATCCGTTTGGGTCCGCTTCTGCAAATTGTTGGGGTAGCTGTAACTGTAAGGCATGCAAGGCAAACCAGCATGCAAATCCGGAAAATCCTAGACATGTTTCCAATTATCTTCCAATTGTCAATTGTCAGTAATCCTTTAGTTTCGGTCCTCACCCCAGCTATGGGTCGTCTTGATTCAACACCCCCACCAAAACGGGGGACCCTATAGTGAAGTTTCTACAGATAGAATATGGACTAATTACAAAAAGCTAATTAGTCTATATTCTATCTCCTGGATCGACATTTTGCCCGGGGCAACAGATAGAATATATATTTATGGAAATCATAGCTTTTATGATGAGTTTTAGACTTAGCCAAACAACGATGACAATCAAAGCTCAAGCATGTGCATGCACAATGTGCATCCAGCAGGTTTATGTAATGATTGTCAAGCAGGTTTTGCACATAGAATTTGGATTCAATCAAAGATAAACTATATGTATTATTGATTTTGAAAATTACCAACAACGATGGCAATCAAAGCTCAAGCATGTGCATGCACAATGTGCATCCAGCAGGTTTAAGTAATGATTTTCAAGCAGGTGTTGCACATAGAATTTGGATTCAGACAGCATTTTGATTGATATGCATGAAAGATAAACTATATGTATTATTGATTTTGGAGACATCATTTTTTAATGATGGATGTTGAACATATCTAAACAACGATGACAATCAAAGCTCAAGCATGTGCATGCACAATGTGCATCCAGCAGGTTTAAGTAATGATTTTCAAGCAGGTGTTGCACATAGAATTTGGATTCAAACAGCATTTTGATTGATATGCATCAAAGATAATATATATGTATTCTTGATTTTGGAGACATCATCATTTTTATGATGAATGTTGAAAATATCTAAACAACGATGACAATCAAAGCTCAAGCATGTGCATGCACAATGTGCATCCAGCAGGTTTAAGTAATGATTTTCAAGCAGGTGCTGCACATAGAATATGTCGTGATGACACAGTTGTGTTAATATACCAGTGCTTTAGCTTCGCGTGGCAATGGCGGGGACCAACATTTCCACGGTGGACATGTGGAACTATGTGAGGGCTGCTGCTGCAGTCACACCTCAGGAGATAGCACGCGAGCGCAAAGCACAGGAGATTTCCAGTGATCCGCAGCCAGAAGCATGTGCTTTTTGCAAGCGCTCTGACCCAAGTGTGTTCTTTTTGCACGCAGTTTGTTTGCTTGGCACTCTTCTTTGCATGTTCAGCGTTTATTTGCAAACTTTGTTCCAAGTTTGTGTGTGACAGCCCAACCAACACCAAACAACACTATGACACTATTGATCCAAACCCATATGTGCCACAAGCATCCATTGGTCTGATTTGCTGTGTTCTTTAAAGTCTTGTTGGTTTTACACCATTGTCTGCAAGCTGAGGTTTGAACTCCAGCTCCAACTGTATGATAGCCCGAGGGTTATATAATGTTACATATGTCTTGCTGAATGTTCTACCTGGTTTGTGCTTTACAATTGAGAAAACCACAAAAGAAACTGGTTTCAATCTGCACAATGTCCTTTTGTTGGTCAACCTGTTTTGTCTTGTTTAGAACATTCTATGTTTGTTCATGTGTCCATTATACTTCATAACAATAAGATCCAACCAAAAAGGAAATCCTTAGGACTTCATATGCTAAAACCATGTGGCTTGAGCGACTCGACCAGATGCAAGAGGAGTGTTGTTCGTTATTCATTTCTATCATAGGAGCACACGTTAAATTCATGTTGTTCTCTCATCGTTCTTGATGATCTTGGTTAGGACAACATGCCCAAAACAAACACACACAAAATCAAGCCGTTATGGTTAAGTAGGTCAGCCCTTGTTTCACCGTAGACCCTTGAATATCATGTGTTATCAACAAACAAGTGAAGCAATCAAGACTAAAAGCATTAGGTCAAATGCAAAAGGATTGATTGTTCCTACTCTTAGCCAGCATGGCACAGGTGATTTCCACCAGCATGTTACTTTGCTTCAAGAAGTGTAGTAGCTAATGTATGAAATCCAGTTTGGGGTACATAGATAGAAAGAGAGGAAGAGGCAATGCAAAAACAGTCCCAAAGTCATGATGGTTAAACATAACAAACGCACGATCACAGTCCTCCATCCTCCAAAAGAAACACATACTGAAATACCTTGCTGGTCAAGCTCCGTCTTTTGGGGGTGCCAATGATGATCCGTCACCAAGCAAGTTTGTTCAGGGCGTGATGTGCTAGGACCTTCATGATCTCAATCTCCTGCTTCAGGACATTGAGCTTCTCCTCGAACCCAGTCTGTGAGAATATGTGTCTAGACTAGGGTTAGGCGGGGGGTTGGGTTAGACACCCAAGACACGAAAACAAGAAGGCTTCCAGTGAGAAAACGTGCAAATCCCAACCGCGGGAAGAAAAAATACATCTATACAACAATCCTGTACCACAAAGTTAGGAGGGACAATCATTTGGGGTGCAAATCATACCAAATTGAATTTACACCATCTATAGTACCCGTTTGGAGAGTGAGTCTTGGAGTTTGGGGACGACATGGGACCCCTTTCGCCAGATCAGGGGGGCAGGACGCACTGAGCCCTTTCGCTTGAGTAGATCCACTCCCAGCATGTTCCAACCGTTCGAACAAGTGGTTCCAACGACGTGCATCTTAAGTTGAGAAACACTTCGAGGGCAGTCGGTAGTTGGTTCCGCGACATGTCCCAAGTGGTTGTACGGTTGTCACGTTGGCCATCCCAAGTTTCACCACAAGATCTCTAGACTGGCCATCCTATCACGATCCAAAACCCTTCGAATCCGCAAAACCCCATTCAATTCAGGATCATGGAATTTTGTATCTCAATGTGTGACTAGGACCAATTGAGCTCACTTCCAGATAGAACTGTATGATGAGGAGTCTCAATGTGAGAGAATTGTTACTGTACAGTAGATGTCCAATATTTTAGTAATTAATTAATACAAGCTCTATATACTGTATGTGTTCAACGTTTCGTTCTTTTCATCGTATGAACCCAATACCATACACGTCACTCTCAATCCGTCCTCATCGAGCTCGGTGTCCGATTCCACGGTGTCTCGGTCCTTCATTCGCTCGATGGCAATGAACTTCACGGCGCGCTGCGCCATGGTGGCAGACACCTGGGCTGCTCGACATCGGGGCCGAAACCAGGTCGGGTGCGGTCGGTGGTTCGTTACTGGTACCACAAGCGGAAACACCATGTTCCGGTCGAAACAAATCCAATGGCTCCAGCATGTTCCAATGTTTCAAAATCCTTTTTGCACAGCCCCCCACCACACACACACATACACACTTAAACTTAAGTCTAAAATGCCCGGCAAAACATCAACAAAGCTGGCAGTGACGGAGAGATCAAAAGACCGGGTGTGTCGAACCTCCAGGCTATCAACACCTGCGTGTGTTCTTGTTGGGTTTTTATGGTTCTTTCATTTAGCTAAACCCTCACCCAGGGTGGATCAGTCGACGGACTGTTCCTCTTTGAGGGGAGACAATCCATTTCATCTCTAGCCTAGCTTTTTGTGGCAAAACCACTCCATCCAGTTGCCGTGCGGCCAAACCTGGGCGTCTGGATGGGCGTCCGGACGTAGGCGCGCTTCACCACTCCGAAACTTCCCTTCCCCAGGATCTTCCCCTGGTCGTCACGACCCGATCTTCCTCCGTTCGGGTGGGATGGATGGATGGCACCACCATAAATCATAAATGTGTTGATGGATGGATGGATGGATGGATGGATGGATGGATGGATGGATGGATGGATGGATCAACATTTTTCTTGAGTTGCTATCATCAAAAGATCACGTGGATAAAATTCTGTACAACCCTGCCCAAGACTTAAGAGATCGATGAATAAGACTTAGGAGATCGATGGATGGTTTCGGGGCATCACTTCCCCAGGAGAAACACAGCCAGCCGGTACAACCGGAGATGGGCGACCGAGCCTCTTTAAGGAGTTTTGTTTAAATCCTGCCTGAACAATCCCGTTTCCAGCTAACAGGAACCCAACGAGTCATCTGTCGCAAACAAATCCTGCATATGTCGCTGTGTTGTACACTGTACCGGGCCCACCCATGTAGGAGCTATATTACGTAATGAGTAATGAGGAATGACAAGCTGGTGCTTGGGGAATTCAACCGACTGGACGGAAAAAGACGGGACTTGCTTTCCACCACACGGCGGACATCGAGCGTCCGGTGTCCGGTGTCGAGTGGCGAATCGAGATTGATCCAGTCCGACCCGGCGAAACCCGGGTCTTTGACCTCCCAGCAAAAACCGGTGTTTTTTGTGCAACCCCAGAATGAGGTCATTGACCGGGAATAGGTTGATCCAACCTGATCCAACCACCGGTTTCCGACGTTTCTCCAACGGTTGAACGACCTGAACTCAGCTTCCCTTCTTCGACCAATGGCCGTCGAGAGCATCTCGTCCGCGTTTGGAGACGAGCGTCGATCCAGTGACGCCATGGACCAGCAAGGGGAAAATACAAAACACGTCTCCAGGAGTGTGCCAAAGAAGAATAGTAAAAAGAGATGACAGCAATAACAAACATCCAATAGTTGGATATCGAATAGGCCCTCCCATGGGCCCACCCACGGTACCACCAAACGAAAAAAGCTGGAGTTCGTCACACTTCAACGTATTCAATATATAGTTTCAATATATATGTGTCCTCATATACTCAAAATTTTGTGAAGGTGGGTCCTCATATACTCTAAATTGTTTAAACAGTTAATATATGTCATGATACTTATTTTGCACCACCTTGACTGTGTTATTGAAATTACTTTTCAACCACCACCTACATGGCTTGCCAAATAGTTTTAGACTTGTTTCCCTAAGTCACTCCCACCTCTAAATAGTTTGCCATGGGAGGGCCTACGATATCGATAAACACAAACATCTATGATGATAATACAATTAAACAGTTCTCGTACTGATCTTGGGGTCATTTGGACCTGTTGCTGCAAACACCGGAAGATCCTAGGTATATCTATAATATTAGGTATAGTAGTAACTATATGGTTGACCTACTTGATAGTTATGTAATGGTTATTATGAATAGTTTCTATTGCTGAAATATACGGCCAACATCTCGCGCTCTCTAACCAAGCGTACGGAAACCCGTGCATTTCCTTCTGGTAAGTGGGTTCAACCATGTTCAACCTAATAGCGATGGCCTCCAACCGAGTAGCGATGGCCTAGCAACCACAAAAAGACCTACATGGAAGGTGGTCCTTAGGTCTTAGGTGCTTCACACTCAGGTCACAGCGCTCGACGCAAGCACCTGCGAACTCTTGAACTGTCCGCATGATTCTAGGCTTTTCACCACCTTTCTTGGCTTGATCCTGCCCCACTGCATTCTCTCATCTTCTCTCACCCCAAAACGTCCCTCTCCTCTTCGTGCACCACCCGTCTCACCCGAACCCGCTAGCTAGCGGTCCTTCCGGGACGCGTCGGCGGAACGCGGAGTCGGACCGCGGAGACGGCATGGTCCCAAACGGAAGAGGTGGGAAGATCGGACCCATGAGACCTCGCTTTTGAAGCCAAGGTGCCCAGCGGAAGAGGATGGAAACGGATGGAAGAGGTATGAAGTCCAGGCTGAAGGGTGGAAAGGAGATGTCTATGAATATCTATGAATTCCTCTTCCAAAGTGTCTGGAGATGTCTGGAAAAAAAAACGCACAGAATTGCCCACATTGATTCTCTAGCTTACCCTCTGATAGCAAGCCTCAAGGACGGGATTTGTAGATCTTCCTGACGTCCACAAGACTTTGGCTGTTATCTTACACACCATGACTACTCGACCAGGGCTGCTTTCTTGTACATTACTAAAACATGCCAAAACCATCCAAAACCAATGAGATAGACTTCCGGGAAAAGGAACCAATTCCTTCAGGATCATTGGCTGATGGTGATTTGCTGCGACCTGCCACCTGCTCCACTCGTGAACCGAGGCGACAAATCTCCAAGTTGGGCTAAATCCATCTGGCCAGGTCCCCAACTCGCTTTGCGAGGGGGCCCTGATATTTTCATGTGGCAGAATCCTTTGCATGCCACCTAAGTGGTTCTGGCTCAAGTTCTTGAATTTTCCCATGCACGCCTGGAACTTCCAAAGGTGAACGGAGAAAAGTACACCAGCATCGTTTTGCTTCATCAGTTTTCGCCCACCCCGGCATCGTTTTTGAGCCAAACCGAGTCATCAGTGCGTGGTGGAAGACAGGCACCAGCTGGGCGTGAATGGGTACGAGCTTGAGTTGTCAAAATTGGAGTGTATACTTATTAGCCTTTGCACACAAAAAAAAAAACAAACTGCCTGAGTACGAGTAAAGCACGCTAAACCCACTGCAAATTCTGCTTATGTCACGTCGCAAAACTTGCAACAACATATGGGAATTGTGACAAACTATAAGTTCCAAAATAGGTTCGTTGCATTTATAGTAGACTAAGGCAAGTCCTATAAGTTCTAAATTATATAAGACTACAATACGACTATATATATAATACATTTGCGAATTCTCCGGTCTAATTTGTGTTTCGCCCGACACTTCCACCGTCGCCGTCGAGACGGTCTCGGAGCGCCCGGGAACCGTGAGACAGGGCGAGGTCGGACCAGCTGAAGTGCGGCACCGGACCAGGGGTGTTGATTGGAACTTCATGTCGTGCCGGATTGCAAAGTGACTCCAATTGGGGAAACACGTCCTATTCTATTCTCTTCTGAATGGGGGATGGGTCAAAACCTGGAGCCTTCATCCACCATGTAGCTTGACCTTCTAGGTAGGTCAAAGAAGATATCAACAGATTTGCCAATGTCACATGATACTTCCAAGGCAAATCTACACATACCGCCACAAAATGAAGTGCAGTACTGTATGCACAACGATACAAGCTTACATGGAAGGTATGAGATGCTTTCGTTTATTCGATGCAACTCTTGATCCATATCCAGGACGTTAATCATGACGCCCCATGCTTGGTACCCGTATTGCTTTCATCGTGACATGTCGGCCACGATTGGTTGGAGACACGTCTAATTCGTTTACATACTTCCAACAACGTCTTTTTCACATACATGTTCACCCCCATCAAACCCGGAGCCAGAGTGTTTGAAGGGATGTACCGTGATAGGGAGCGCTCCAAGCTCAAGTCTGCAAGTCGTGTGAGCAAGTCGTGTCCCTGGTTTTGCCCCACAGCCGCAAGTCTCAACTTGTCTCAACTTGTCAGTCCACTTCGGCCGTTTCAGATTTCCTGATCACCCCTGCACCCCCTGAATTGGCCCACCGGCGGTGAGCATCTCATCGGGGGGTGTCAGACAAGTGCTGCCTGCCTCGTTGTTGAGGGGAGGCAAATTGGCGAAGAGTTCGAATACCAGTATGGGTATGCACTTAAATAAGGAGACCCGGAACCAATGGGTCGACTGGTCTGTTTTCCTTCTTCCCTTTCAGGGTCGAACTGGGAGGTCTCCCTATTTTGATACACGCCCGTATGGCCCGAAAACTCATGGGCTCCCAAACCACCCATCGGACAGCCGACTCCGATGAAGTCATCGACGCCATCCGACTCACTCCAATTCAGCAATGAGGCCCTCCTGGTGGACAACATCTCCAGTGGCTGCGACGAAAGAACAAGCTGGCTTTGGTTGACCCTTCCTCGTCGCCGCTGTTTTTGTTCTGTGTTTTTGACCCTGCCTCCATGTTTTCGAACTAAGTCATTCTACTGTAGAGCAGGACGGGGAAGCTGTGTCACCGATGGACAAGAATCCCGTCTTTGCTTCGAAGACAAGGAATGGATGGGGTTCACATGGGAATCTTGTTGATTGAATGTTCTGGATTTGAATATTCTAATCTTCTTGCACCTTCCTGGAGGACCCAAGGGGTGGTATAGATGCCCCTCAACCTCTAAGGGGTTATTACCAGGCACCCCTTGGGCGGCCCTGGAAGAAGTCAAACCCTGTGAGATGAGAACACCAAAATAGCTTGAAATTGGCTGCCTTCTTGCATATGTTCCTCTTCCCGTCGCATTGGCCGGCGTGTCACTGTCACTGTGCCCACCCAAGCTAACACACCCCCAAAAGGCCCAGCTTGGACATGTTCGGCGCTACGTACGATGTTAGCTGCTAAAAACAAAAACACAACGTACCGCTCCTCAGCCGCTTCAATGCTGGTATCGACGGCTGCCTTCAAGGATCTCTGGGTGTGCTTCCGCTTGGCCACCACTACGGCGCCCGCCATCATCAGGAGAGCTGGAAGAAGCAAGCGGACAACATATCGGACAAGCATAGTAAACTCAATTCCGCATCCCAAATCAACTACGACTTGCTCGCGTTTTTGCAAGCAAAGACTTTCCAATGTTGGTTGGTTTATGGATGTTTAATATACAATCTGCTTGTAGACTGCCTACCAAGCTGCCTACCCAAGCTGGGAAGTGCTGGATGGGGCAGGCACCCTTTGGCTAGCCGGTTTAAACACCCAGCTAGAAGTCTCAAGCGCAAACAGCTTTGAACCCAAGAAACCACATTGAACCTGAGAAGCGCTTTCGAACAAAACTCATTCCTTAATTCCCACTGACAAAGCAATGTTCTTTTCCACTCTATACACCCCTCTCTCATCCCTGTGCTCCCCAAGAAAAGCCGCCTCCA